GTCACATAACATACAATAACGTCACGATATTGCAAGAATTTGTGTGATGTTTAAATGTGTCCCTCCCTTTCCAAACGCTTTCAATATGATCGGATCTGAAGTTCTCTATACACTAGGTTGGGAAGGATTCGCCTGTATAGGTATAGGGACCCCCGAGTATGTCGCTGTAATGTAATTTTAGAAATTACCTGAAGTATGCATTTATGCAGAGAAGCCCATTCAGAGGAAATATGGATATTTTTAAAACCTTTGATTCACCTTTAGCTTAGGTTACAATAGTTGTTTAATATTGACTTTTGTTATGTCTTCACCAACAAGACATACTCGAACGTAAGTTGACCGTATGTTATAGAACTCAAAGCTCATACAGCTCAAAGTGAAGATGAATTTAGCCGTCACATGTATGATAATTTATATGTTTTTATTTACTCTCTTTATGACACCCATTCATAAATGAAAGGGCCAAGACTTGCCTAGGGCATTGTGGGTGCCTTTTTGTCTGTCCAATGTGTGATTCCCACTTCTTATGTACTTGTTCAACGAACACCCGGTGAATTAGACGACTGGACCTCATAGAAGGACGTTTCCAATGCATATAAAATTCAGTCTTCCAAGCATCACTACAAATGCGTTTATAAAGACACAAATTCACACCACAGTCTGTAATACAAGTACCATGCATTTTACGCTGGTTCTATTAAAACTTCACTACCGACAGGCAATTGTAAAAATGTCTTCTTAGTCTTACAATGCCTGTACCAGGTCCCAAACTTTATAAATTACTGGACCAGAAACTAAGAGAAAGTCCAAAGGTCCCTTTTCACAGGTTTGAATCCTTCAAAAGCCTTACAAAATCTCACCAAAAGACAAACAAACGATTAAAAAAATTACATCCTCCGCGGTCTTCTAAATCACCCTGGACATGTCGTGCGTTGTTGTCCCCTTTTAATGACACTGACAACAGGGAGTGGTATGACCATCTCAAGGGATTGAATTTGACAGGTACTGTAACTTTTTAGTTCGTTTCTGGAAAATGTAATACTATAAATAGTTGTTCTATAATATATGATCAGATTGCACAAAATGAGTATTGAGACCACTTCTTCAAGAATTTTGTTCTATCAAATTGAGGTTTTTGTTTTGCTAAGTCACTATAAAATTTCACGTAGCTGAAGTTCTTATCGAGTTACAGTATTTAGGTCTCTAGGCGTAGTATTGGCCAGGAGGCCTCACTGATCATTCAGTGATAGAAATGGTTGCATTTATTTGCACAACTTTCTTTCTTTTTATATATTTCGAATCCAATATTTTCCAATCCTTTCTATCTTTTTTTATCTTTGCATTGCTGGCTTGCTAAAACAAGTGGGGAGGGGTCTAAAGATTGTGGAAGTCTTCCTTAGGTTAGCAAAAACTTTCGGCACGTTGAAAAAGTTAGCACTGTAGTTTTGGTAGCTTCAACGACGTCCGTATCACGAATGCTGATCTCTTTGACTGACACCCATTCGTAAGGTTCGTGATATTATTTACCCCTTACCCTCCTCAGAAAATATTACGCCGCCTGCTTAGGATGCATTCCCCTACAAATGAAATGGCCAGATATTAAGCTTGTGCACAAGAATATTTTGTGATTCCACGGTTTATTTATAATATGAGGTGCCGTAGTCGGGACTGATCGTGGAGACATGGGATTTTTTACTTTAAATTCGAGGTATTTCGTTCCCCAAAACCTACACCTGTGGACCTATATTTTGAATAGAGGCGGGCAGCAACCTTCAGAGCTAAGCGCATAGTTTCACAATTTGGAGGCATTTTCGGGGAGGGTCGATAAAAAAAGTGCGTGGCTAACCCCTATAAAATGAAAAGAATAGTGAATTTGTGGCTATAATGTTGAATATTATGACGATATCTGCAGAATGAATAACGGAAACCTTTCTATAATATGCAACATCCGTACGGAGCTGAAAATTAAACAGACTCTTCGTGGTCTCTTCACGGTATGCAAGGCTATTGTTTTGTGACACATCAGAAGTAATCCAATATTGCGAGAAGCAGCTTACAAAAATGTTTATTCCACCACAGAATATGCAGCCACAATTTCGGATCATTCACATCAATAAACTGGAAATGTACAGCGCAGTGGCGTAACTAAGAGGCATGGAGGGTACGGGGCATTCCCGAGGCTTAGATCCAGGCGCAGCCTCCGTAACATTCGGTCGCAGTCCCAAACACTTGCAGGTCTCACCCTGGTATGAGAGTGCTTGTTTTAAAACAAAATTAAATACCTTTATTAATTAGAAAAAGGATGCTGGCTAACAGGCTTTTCCTAATTAGCATAAGTTGTGCAATTGGGTAGACTGTCAACATTGACGTTCACTTTTGTGTACTTACTTGGTGCTGTAGAGAACCAGAGCATGCCGGGTAATCTTGAAACCTATGCTCTCAAATAAATGTATTGAAAGTTCGATGCACTTTGTGCTGATCATGTCCCATGGAGCCAGACGGAATAGGACTTTGACTTTGAGAGACGTGAATATGATTATCAACGATTTACATGGACATCTCAAAGGGGTTATACGGCACCGTGACATCAGGGGATCGGCACTGACAGGCTTGCTCGACTTGGTATTTTCTGCTTTGATGAACTGTTCGGTCATATTATTCCGACACTCAGCGGTAAGAATTAATATCATAGCCAATTAATTAATCTTATTTGTTCTGCAAACCAAAACTACGAAAATGGAGTCACTACCAATGTCTGCAAACGATGTCACTTTGAAATACGTTAGGTATATTATTCGGGAGTTTTGTCTGGGTGTTTTGTATTTTGTTGTAACATGGGGCTGGGTTTTAAAACCATTGGCCTTTGGAAGGGAATCCTGGAAGTTATTTTGTTTGAGTAGATTTTGTTTAGCTTTTTTTTGGGGGGGGGAGTTGTTTTATTTGTCTCACATTTCATCGATGTCCAAGGTTGCAACAGCCTCGAGCTGCCTTCTGCGTTACTCAAAATTCCCATACACCATAATATTCGACAAATCTCATTCAAGTCATATTCTGTACTTCGTTTTTTTTTTCAGTTTACACGAGTAGAGTACGATGTCTTCCAAACTTTTTCGCTTTCTCCTACTGATAACGACTTGCTTCCCCGTGGTGTCAATAAGCAGCATCTGTGGAGAACAAACTGCTCAAGCTTCTAAGAGGTACAAATTTCTCTACTTTGTTTCTCCACTGGAAGGCAGCCACTACTTAGCCCTGTCCATGTCGGGCAAGGAACTGGTTAAACAAGGCCACAAAGTGGTCTCCCTTGTCAGTAGCTCCAACAGTCGACGGTTGCAGACGGCCGACGCCGACTTCTCCGTCGTGGTATTCAACTCGTCTTACACGCGTGAGAAACGAGCTGCCGTCATGGAAAAAATTGGCAAAGTGCTCGCCACGGGAGCCATGCGAGGTTTCTTCGGCCACTTGGAGTGCGGCATCAAGGGTAACTTGGCCGGCGAGCTGAATGTAGCTAAAATGTGGCTGCGCGAGTGCGACGACCTGTTAGGAGACAATGCAACCATGAGGCGGCTCCGACAGGAGAGATTCGACATGATGGTTGCCGACGACAGCGTCCGTTGCATTCCGCTCTTGGCACAAGCTCTGAACATTCCCTTCATCTACAGCATCCCTGTTCACACAATTCCCTCGAAACACAGTGTGTGGTAAGTGGGTCTACTTTACATTTTACATGGAAATCGAATAACTTATAAAAGAGGAGAAACGAAGATATAAGATTTATAGACAAATGAAGTTGGTTTTTCAAGGAAAGTTGGGTTTTTAGTGTAACCCAGAGTTCGCCTCCGAGTAACAGGAACTGATTACATTCTACCAACGTCTTTTGGGAAATTCAACTTTACACAATTCAGGGCTATGCGCACAATGAATTTGGTTTTAATGTAATGGAATGAAATAAATCCCAAGCAATGGCAATTGATTAAAATGTGCTTTACAGAAAGTGCAGGATCCTGTTAAAGTTAGACACAAAACTTGCGCGTAGGAGAAACAAAATATAAGGCGCCACATTTTTCAGAACAAGCAAAATGGTGATGTGTCCATCTTTTTACGATAAAAAAGGATTGAATTTGATAATCTTTATATCATTAGTTGCCGTGACTGGAATTTAGTTGTAATTTAGAGAGCAAACTATATAGACTTTGATGACTACCTTCCCGTTCATAATCCGTTGGCAAGAAACAAGATGCCGAGTTTATCACATGCAGACATGTTGATATCTGGAAGCATGTACAGAACAACCCCGTGTAATAATCTGGACTGGCTTACTAAAACGTTTCCTCAGACTTCGCCTCCAATCTTGGTTCTTGTGATGTTAATCCAGGCTATTGAGAGATCATTCGTCAGCTAATATCTGTGAGGATTTCAATCAAAATGAAAGAGGGCCTTTCATTGACAGTGGAATGTAGTAACTCGCTCCTTATAGATAGGCCTACCGATTAGGTGGATCACGTAAAAAAAGTGAGGTTATTGGTCAAAGTGCTACATTGTTCTATTTATGATTAAATTTTGCTCATCCCAGGAATACACATCAAATTAGGCCAAAACGATTTATCAGTGCTGCACGGAAGAAAAAGAGCGCGTCTATAATCTTGACAGTGATTTGTCGGATCATTTCGCCTCTGTTTGTTGGACACAATAAATTAGAAAGTCCAAAATGGAATGTGTAATCGTATCCTGAGCAAGGTGGATGTAGCATGGGGAGAAACCATCCAAGAATGCTCTGAAAGATGATGTAGCATGGGGAGAAACCATCCAAGAATGCTCTGAAAGATGATGTTCCTCGCCTTTGGCAAGTGCCATTAATCAACGTTCAATCTCCTGTTCATATTTAATCCCTTAATAAAATCTCGCTGTTAACTACATGTATACAAAAGAGCACGAGAGATCGGAGGTATATTTTTACATTGTTTATACAGGGCGGGGTTACCAATTGAACCTTCGTACGTCCCCGAGGCAGTGATTGGCCTCACCGACAGAATGACGTTCCTACAGCGAGTCCAAAATGTCCTGGCCTATGAGTACTACAAAATCTTGTGGTCCCTTGCGGAAGACCGCAAAGGTTTCGATCAGCTTAAAGTCAAGTACAACATCCGACCGGAGATCAGCACTTACGAATCCCACAAGCAAGCCTCTCTCTATTTGTGCCATGGGAGCTTCGCCTTAGAGTTTCCCAGACCCGTGCAACCAAACACAGTTTATGTCCTCCAAAAAGCTGGTTCGACCCCTCACACAAAGGTAAAGTACAGAACTCGGGTAAATGATAACTTTGTCTTGTTCCACCATTTGGAAGTGTTTTAAAACAAACAGTGGCGTACCACTATTTTAAATAGTTTTTCATTAATTCGAATATAGAAATTGACATGAAAACTTTAATAGGGTTTTTCATATTAAATACGTGACAAGTCAAAATAATACATTACTAGTTACAGGGAATCAATCAGATGTATCTTTTTTAAGGTTTTGGGCATGTTCGAGTATTGTAATCGTTACGGGGGTTGTTTTGGCTTTTTGCATTTTACAAAAATGCATTCTTTTTTTCTTGTTTTTTTTCTTTGCATTTTGCGAAAAACGCATTTTTTTTGTCAAGATTTATGGATTTTCGCAAGTTGCAAAAAGGCCTTCTTTTGTTCTGTTTTATTTTCTCCTCCTTCTTCTTCTGACCCTAACCCCTTTGCTTTGTACACCATTTTGGTCGCATCGACTTTTGTTCCAAAACAATTTCATCACACTTACATCAACGAAAGACCCTTATGTATAGATGTGTCTCAAACAATGACGTCTTGATGACGTCATCAAGTGCTTTATTATTGATTTTTGAATATTTATTTCAGCTAATTGACTTTATTCAATATTCAAATATCATCAAAGTTACACCAAGTAAAGACCCCACAGCAAAGAAAATACTGAAATAATTACGTCATGGTGACGTCATCAAGTGGTTTATTATTAAATTTTGAATATTTAAATATTACGTTAATGTTGTTAAAATCAATATAAAATCGACCGTGACCTCCCGCAACATTCTGTTTGCAGCAAGTGCCAGAGTATAATTTGGTCTTCAATATTCATCTCGTGACCCTTCCTTCCGGTCGAAAGCGGAAGTCGGTTTATTATTTAAAAGTGGTAATAGGTATCAACTCGCTTTCAACGGTGTTAGTCGATGGGGGTAAAGTATTCTTCAAATCATCTACTGGTGACATCACGTAATTGTCAAGCGCCCTCTAGCGAAAAGTTAAAAATTGTGAAAAATTAATTTTGAATAGATGTCTAGCTGAGGCGAAGTTTGTCCAAATCGCCCGATAATTGATGAAGACGATGACTTTTACCCAGAACACGTGTGAAATTTGGGGCTCATGAAGTCATCATACTGGAAGCTACGATAAAAAGTTCTTTTATTCTTCGAAATTCGGTAAAAATCAGGTAACAGACTTTAAGTATGAATTGTTCATTAGATGATAGCTAAAACATTGAAGTCAACTGCATAAAGTGCATAAGTGGTGTACTTTTTCACACAGATGCTGCGCTAATGGTTGAGTGGACGCCCATCTGCTTGTAACGTGTGGCAGGCAGCGCACAGTGAGTAGGGTATGCCTAGCACGTAGGCTACTGCCGCGCGCCGCCACGTATGTTCGGTCCCCGTAGACTTTGCATGCATTTCGTTGTGTATTCGCGCATGCGCAATAGTGACATAATGGTCGTCGGTCTGAAATTATTCTTGCAGACGACGTATTGGTGGTGACCCATGTGGAGGATTGTACTGCCATTTCCGTGGAAGACCCCGTGTGTGAATTAATTGTCAATAGTCTATCAAATGGTGATATTTAATAACTTCTTGTGAAAAAGATCTCTGATAAATATAGCCTAATCAAAGAAAGTACAAAATGTCAATTTTTCGACAAAGTATAATTTTGAAAAATTATCGGAATTTTTTGCCTAGCTTTGTGTCTAATTTTCACAATTTTGCTGGGTTTACCTTCGAATACCTTTGATGGCACATGAAAGACTGGTAACTCTTTTGTACAAAAAGGTTATTACTTCTAGGAAGAAAACCGTTTATTTAAATTCACTTCGTTTTTCATTTGGACCCATTTTTTCGTATTTTTCACCTTACTTAATGCCCAATTTTCACACCTTTGTCGAATTCCCCTCAGATCATCGGTGTATACTGTCTGGAAGACTGATAATTTTTTGTATCTATTAGTTATTTTTTTTTTCAAGATCGAGAGCCATTTGTCTGAAATGTGGTTCGTTTTTCATGCGGATTCAAATTTCTGCACTGAGTTTGGCAGGGGTAAAAATGAGATGTCTGGATTTGGGGCATGGTGCACACGTACGTACACAGACCTGGATACGAGTGCGTTTGGGTACGAGTTGGCCTACTGCATTGCACGAATACGTACAATCACATCTTTCCCGACTAAAAGGCACAAACAAAAACTTTCCGTTTTCATCCATAAGGTTTCCTTCTTGTATGATACTTTCTCATGAGAGAGTTCATGATATTCCTCACCATTCACAAGTAGAGAAATGTCAGGGAAAACCCGGCAAAACTTTAAAAATCCCCTCTAAAATGTTGGCTTCACGTTCAACTTCTGACGGTTACTTTGGAGGTAAGTGACAAAGACGGGCAAAAATTAGGCAGAAAATAGATTTTTATAGTGTGCCAGTTAGCAAAAGGGACTTTGAGTGTTTAAATTCTAATCGACAGGGAAATGAGGGGCTAACAACTTTATCTGAGCTTGATGTTGATACATTACTTTTGGGGTCCACCGGCCCGAGTCAAGATCCACTTTACTGGCTTCTGGCGATGTAGTAGGATTCAGTGCCGAGAGGGGTGCATTCCTTTAAATCGTTGTATTTCTGCACGCGAGCTCTATTTTGTGATCCCATTTTTTACAGTAAGACAGGCCATAATCAGGAGGCATCATAGAAATATCTCTATAAATCCCGAATTTAGGACTGATAGTTTCCAGTTCGGGGTATTTCTTTCACAAAAAGCCCAAAATTGCGGGCCTATTTTGGCTAGAGGTGGGGGGCTACATTCAGAAATGAGCGCTTAGTTTTACTGCTATTTGGGGAGTATCTTCGTTTGAAGGCGAATATAAAAAATTCGAGGCTAACCCCCCTGAAATTGAAACGAAAAGTGATCTTCTGGTCATAATCTTGAATTTTCAGTGAAAAAACGGAAGCCAACCTCTAGTTCTTCACGAGAGTCAACAGGCGGCGCTTTTTCGGTCCGATTTTGCACTGTTTTCTATGGGCGCAAATTTGGTGTAGTGCAACCAGAGCAGATCGCATTGTATGGAATGCCAAAAGGGACAGATGTTTAAAATCTCTAATCTGTGCTCTTTCCGCGGTAAAAATAATGTTTTGTATTGTATTTTTAACTGTAAATGTCTGATTGGGTTGAAACCTTGCAGGTAGTTAAGAAGGGAAGGCTTATAGACGGAGATTGACCTCGTGATGACAATGTCATCAGCAAACGAGTCGCGTGACATTAAAGGTGACTGTTTAAGTCTCTATATCTCCTGAAATATATGCCTTATTGGGTTCAAACCTTGGAGATATCTTGAAAGGGAAGTGATTTCGACGATTATGGACCTCTTGTGATGATGACGTCATTAGGTGACAAGTCACGTGACAATAAAGGTGCACTCTTCAAATCACTATATCTCATGAAGTACATATCCGATTGGGTTAAACCTTGCAGATATCTTGAAAAGGGAGTGCTTCAGACGAATATTGACCTGATGGCATGATGATGTCAACAAGTGGTAAATCACGTAACATTAAAGGTGACTCTAAGCATTATATTTCTTGAAGAACATGTCCAATTGGGTTAAAACCTTGCAGATATCTTGAAGGGGGGCTTTGGGCGAACATAATGTGATGATGACGTCATAAGGAGACAAGTCATGGGCTATTAAAGGTGCACTCTTCAAAGCACTATATCTCGTGAATTACATGCCCGATTAGGTTGCATAAAAAGGATTTTTTTCTGAAGTACGTCACGTTATAAATAAGAAATTAATAAAGTATTATAATTATTTCATCACAACGTCAACATCCATTTCAGTCCAAAGCTTTGACACTTTTTTGAGCAAACCACATTATTTTTGTAGATACCCGTTACACAGACAATTGCCGAAGTAGCTAGTGTTTGTCCACAAGCATGGGTTCCCTTGTTAACTTTTTTGACTTTAGAATTGTATCTGGACCTAGGTATTAAATCAAGATACACAAAAGAGAGGAACAACGCACAAAATGTCAAAGCCTAACAGACAATATACTATTTTTGATCTGAGCCGCAAATAATGAAACCAACATTCTGAATCCCACATTCGTGGAAGATTAACTTCTTCTTTACTTTTGTGCCTCAGACAATGGATGACTTCATGAGAAAGATTGTCTGTTGCTAGGAATAAACACCAGTTTCCGACTGTTGTTTTCAGTGACATCCATATTCTACAACGCAATTAAGCGAAACCGATTACGAATCATTAATACATTTTTTTAAGACAGACCTCGTGTAGCCCTTTGGTTTACAGAAATACCTGCATGACGGGGTTATGTTGTTCAATCATGAACATATATAATGGCTCAGATATCATTAAAAAGTATGGCTCAATAATTTGAATTGAATTCTAACGGCATTATTATCCTGACTAACTATACCTGGGTTTAGCTTAGGATTTCGTGTAATCGAACACACGAATGTCCAACATGACTGTGTTCGAATATCGGCATCCTAAGGAATTCCATTTCTGCCAATTACGTGGCGCATGTGGGCATTCTTCCTTGGGCCTGTAGCCACTTCCATCGTCAACGCGCATTGTCGCCTTGTGCCGTTGCACCATCGTGTCGTGTTGTCGCATCGTCGCATTAAGTTGACAGAGGTCGTTCCTTTGTTTCGTCTAATGAGGGCGCACAGCCAACTTCAAGACGAAGACGCTCAGCCTAAGTTATTGGAATGGTAGTAGTCCCTCTCTTGTCGGGGTTTTTGGTTTTTTGGGTGGTAGTTAAAATGGGCGATATTTTGCGTCAGTTGAATCTGGATGAGCTCATAGATTCAATATGGCCGAATTGCGAACAGGGCCAATTGCCTTGATTATTATGTCAAGGGAATTTAAATGTGCTGGGCGGTTTTAAACTAGTGCGATTAAAATGGTACAGGTAAGTTTTGGATAATCGATGTGTTATATTCCACATTTTGTACAGCAAAACAACTCGTGGCACAAGAAAAGAGCAAATCATAAGGTCTTTTCTGTTTTTTTTTCACCTCTCCCTCCAGACTGAAGACGATATAGCAAGTTTTCTGGACACGGCTCCCAATGGCGTGGTTTTGTTTTCACTAGGCACTTACACTTCATGCATGGAGCTCCAAAAGGCCCAAGTGATTGCTGATGGTTTCGCTTTGCTTTCACAGCGGGTCCTCTGGCAGAGTAAGGCATTACCCGCCGGAGTCAAGCTGGCAAACAATACCAAGACTGTTGGCTGGCTGCCATTAGCCAAAATCATGGGTGGGTAGTACTTTCCTCTTTTTTATTACATTGTGATTTTAAATCCGTTCTACCCGTGCGGCGATTCAATTTCCGCGCTGGTGTCAAAATCTTCTCATTGCTCCTCATACTCAGATTAAAGAGGGGGTCTTATACGTATTTTCAACTGAAGTGAAATCAATAAAAAGGCTGCATGTGAGTCGCAGCGACTTTGCGTCGCAGACAAGATATATGCTTATAAGGTGCTTATAGGGTCCCTACGTGCAGGCAAGGTGCAGGAGAGCCTACAACCGACTTCTGCGTTAAGAGAAAAGAATTCATGAAATCATCATCGAAGTGTGTATACAATGTTAAACGTTCACCGAATAGACATAATGACGTTGCGCAATGATTGCCGCAGTGCTCTGTATGGTGAAAAGTGGGGAGAGAATCGTCAGTCATGTGAGCCTTCGCGCGACTTTAGACTTGTGGTCTCGTGGAAGCTTGAAAAAATGTAGCTCAGGCGTTCAGCGTTCGCTCGTTACACAAAATGGCACGCAACAGTTATTATGAACCCTTTTGGATAATATACGCCTGCTCAATCTCAGAATCTTTTGACAATTTTCCATGCGCGTGAAAACTAGCAATAGCACGAGTGCGTACTGTCCTTTCCCACCTTTCACCGACAATGCATCACGATAAGCGTAAACTATGGCCGTGTCCGAAACGGGCTTCCAGAGCTACGGCTAGGTCTATTGTCTGCGCGTCTCCACGCATTTCCAATGGAGTGAAGACCTAGACCTAGCTCTAGACAGGAGATTCAGATGCAGTCTAAGCATTACGACATTATGTTTTACGTCCAGACCTAGAGACCATGCATGTACTGGGATTTCATAACCTTGCCTGCAATGATCCGAGGTACTCGGCTGACGCTTACGAAGTGATGTACTCGGGAAACTTCATTTGCTAGTGCGGGTAGCTTCTCAAAGACGCGATATTGCTGGTCGATCGGAGCCAAGACTTTCGGACACCACCTTATAACAATTAAGTCATTTTCTCATCCACCCAGAGCACGCCAACGTTAAAGTGTTCGTGAGTCATGGCGGTAGCTTTAGTATGTACGAAGCTATGTGGGCTGGACTACCAATGGTGGGCCTACCGCTATTCGGAGACCAGATGGGTAACTTCGATCGGCTAGAGGACCGTGGGGTGGGATTAGCGCTTGATATCACCACCTTAACACCGGAGTCGTTCAGTCAATCTATCCAGAAAGTCATCTCTGACCCAAAGTAAGGTTGACCTTTACAGTCAAAGAGCAACGACTTTAAAAATTGTCACAGAAAATAAAGATCTGGCGAAAACTAGACCAAGCCCGGTTTATAATTGTTGTTAGATTATGCGGCCTACTGTACAAATACAACACACGTCATTATCAATCATCCATTTACGGGTCTGGGTACATTTGAAACAAAACCCCACGTGACCCTCATCAACATAATTAACATAAACATAATATTCCATTAGTATTGGAGCGTACCATTATAAGTAGGGTCTTTGAGTTGATGTAAGTTTTTATTGTGTATTCACTATGTAGCTGAAACAGAAATGTGCATTTTCCTAATTATAGTGTAAGATAGGATAATATGATTATTAACACAATAGTCCGCCGACGCTGGCTTCCATCCATTGTTCGAAAGATCCCCATTACCGGGCGCCATGTACTGTCCAATATTTGTCCGAACGATTGTCCGTTTCATTACCCGGCGGCGAGGACGGCCCTTTGTCTAGGGATTATCGCTTCCTACCTCTTGATTACTTCAAGACCTCCCTGTGGGCCAGTCGGTATTTTTTTTATCCTGTTGTGCCATAATTTCATAGTAAACGTCATTGTGTGCCATAATAGGAATTTACTGGTTCAATGTAAAAAAAAAAAAACTAAAAAAAAAAACACTATTATTAGTTTTGTCGTATTCTTTGCCATTAGGCCTAGGCCTAGTATTCTGTACGCACTGTATGCGCGGCAAATGTTCTTACTTTACAGGCAACTGGCACGTACTGTCGGCCAACATACCCACGTAAGTACACCTCCACGTCAGGAAAATCTTACACTATATAATTAGGAAAATTTCTGATTCACCTACGTAGTGAATACACAATGAAACTTCCATCCACTCCAAAACCCTACTTATAATGGTACGCTCCCGTGATACAAAATTTCCAAACGCTCCGATACTAATGGAATATTCTCGTTCCTCATTTTATATCAATGAGAGTCACGTGGGGCCAAATCCCGCCTTCTAATTGGTCGAAAGGCCGCAAAAAAATATCCTGGTTAGGCCCTGGGCACTACTCGCGAGTCGCAGTAGACTTGCGCGTCGGCAAAAGTTTAAAAAAAATTATTTGGTATTATACGATGTCTAAAAGCTGCCAAACTTGCTTGATCGACTGGAATCCTGCTTGTGCATGATGTTCACGTGTTTTAGATGGGGTATGGTGAGTACAATGTACAGTAAGGAGTCCCTCTGGGCCTCTATACATAGAGTCGGGCACTCTTTTTCGGATGAAGTCAAGGATTGCTATTTCACATAAGTGAAAGACATGTCTGTGGCGAAAAAACAGTAATAAATGCAGTATGATCCGCCCAGGAGTAAAGTGGGCAACAGTTCCACAGACAAAAAACGGAACTTCTTTTGGGTTACACGAGTGTCCACTTTTTACGACGAACAGGTTCCGTGACAACGCACGGCGTATATCCATGATCATGCGGGACATGCAGGTCATGTCTCCCCCAGTCAAGACGGTCGCTCACTGGATCCTGCACGTCACCAAGTTCGGCGGAGATCATCTGCGCCCGGCTGTACTGGACCTGAATTTCATCCAACGGAATCTTCTCGATGTCTATCTCTTTATTGTGGCCGTCTTGGCCTTGTTCTTGGGGTTGAACTTCTATCTGTGCTACTGCTGCTGTAAGTGTATGTGCGTTAAGGCTTGGAAAAGCCATCTGAAAAAGGACTAAACGATTTATTTGGGTAACCCAGACAGAGTTATCAATCGCCAACTTTGCAAATTTCGGCTTTAATCGCATGCTTTCTATTTTTATCATTCAGTAGAGACGGACATCTCTTTTCTCATGTCTGGTCTAGATAGTCTCACAGCAATATAGTTAAACTAAAGAATAACCACCCCTTGTGAAGGCCTTCACACATTAAAACATGTATCTGATCTTCCTTTATTATAATGAAAATAACAAATTCAATATCAAGAATTATTGCTTCATGTTGTAAACTACTTCATGTAATTTTTATATTGCATGTTGCTTCAAAGTGGTTTGGTCATGCATGTTTTTTAGCGATTTGAAAGTGATTTCAAGGTGTTGAACTTTATGTAGTATCTTTTGAGAACCCCAAAATCGCTATGTAATCATGACTGTTGACAAGATGTTTTCATGAATAAACAAATGACTGGTACTGCTCTGGGATCAGTTGATTTTTTATTCATTCTGGATTTACACAGCAGTGGCTTATGTAACTGTTTCCATCACAACGCCACCTCTGAATTCGGATCAGATCAAACGTACTTCAGTCTCAGGCTGCATCCAAATTTACTGTCTATGGCTAGGTCTCCTTAGAAACAGGCAGCGACCCACGGACAAAAGACCAAGCCATAGCTCTGGAAGCCTGTATCGGCCACAGCCTTAATTTCAGGAAGAAAGTCGATTATTGGCAAATAATCTTGATTTAAGCGACATAATCAAGCAGGGTCTGAACATCATATCCACAGAGGGTCAGTGAAGGCAATAACAGAACCAACATGTAAGGGCGAGTAACAGAAAAGATTAGGTCACGATTGTTATTTTACAAATCCAGGAGACATGATTAAGTTAAGTAAAAACAAAAATTGTGCACTCTAGAAAGTATTACAATATCCTGACTTCTTGCTTGTTTCACTCCAAAAAATTTGACCTGTACTGAAGAGATGTTTAAAGTTCCTTCTTCCTATAAATTTTCATCAGTTCCACTTCAAAGATCAAGGTTGCACCACCTGACGACAAATCAAGGCAAACAAGAATTAAACCTTTTCAATACAAATACATAATCAGACACCTGTATTCCAAAGTTCTCAGAGTCGCAATGAGGAGTCTTAGCAATATTGTATACTTATTTCAGTTGTTTGAAAGGGAGACTGTTCTAGTTTCAATCAATAATTTATCAAATAATTTCTGTCTCCAGAGTGCTCATGTTGGTCTAGCCCTAGATTATTGTTTGTCGCTGAATTTGATTTGAAAAGCAGTTCTGACATTTACAAGATAATCTGATGCTTGAGAAAAGCATCCAGAGGCTAAATTTGTGTGTGTGCACCTGAAGATCTACCCTGTAGCATGTAATGCAACAATAAATCTGAGATATCTCTGTGCAATGACTTATCAACATCCCTATTCAGTAAAATGGTTGGGTCCATTATGTTATTTGCTATACATAATTACCATGCATGCAAGTCATCCTCAAGCAGGCATGACGTGGTGCAGTAACAGATTGCATAACCGTTTCTATGCAAAATCTGCTGAAACCTTGACCATGCAAGTTGACGACGGGGCAAGGTACATGTATGCGTCTAAATGCATGTACAAATTACACTTACGGCTAGGAAATGCTATACACAGAGTTATTGGAGAGGCCAAATAAAGGGTGTTTGGCAGTTATGAGAGACGGAAAGTATGGCAAGTACCTGGGATCTTTGGAGGGGATCCTCTGTCTCCATAGCCAAGATCTGATGGAATAACAAGTTTCCTCTTCTCACCTACACACATGCTGAAAAGATAAAAAAAACAGATGTTCCACAGGATGTTAGAATCATTTCAATTTCTTGAAGAAGTGCATATGGTGACTTTGCATCATCCATGCTCCTGTACAAAGCCTCCATTGAGTAAGAGTGTAAAGCTTGCAAGAGGACCATTTTATTGTCACTTCCACATCTTAAGTTCTGGGAGCAAGTTTACCGACTCAATTTCCCAAATCAAAACACCATGTTGAAAATGGCTGTATGCCCTTATGAAAGGACAAAGAGGTTCCCAGATGCCAATGGCTGGGTATATCCTTCTCACAAACCGTTATTATTGGTTGTGTGCATTCAGTTGAAAACTGGTCAGGTGTACTACACACAATACAGTCACGGACGAGGTGGGGTCCTATTCCATTAAATAGAAACCACTGTAAATGGAATCCTTTCACTTCAAGACTTCTTGAAATATGATGGTAATTAGGAGTTCATTTGAAAAAAATCAGGATTTCTACAATGCTTTCATGACAAAACAGATTTCAATTAAAGTGAATAAACTTGTGATGGCAGCTACATGAAGAGCAAAATAATTAAGTGCGTTGACTGCATGAGGACAAAGTTCTTCTGTCTCTGCTTTTGTCAAAGTCAACACTTTGCCAGTTTTAGTTCTTCTGAACTCAAGCAGCCCAATACATAGCAGTGGCCCCATAATCAGAAATAGCACTAACAAGGTTAATACTGAAAAAAAAGGTTATCTTTTGATTACAGTCGAAATGGGTGGCCCCTATCAAAAGGCACTGAAGTCAGCAAAAATGGGTGGCCCCTATCAAAGGCACGGAAGCCAGCGAAAATGGGTGGCCATTTCATAGATACTAGTATTTGTACAACCTTTTTTGTGGTGCACAAAATGTAGTTCATTAGTCGCACCACAAAGTGCGGTATCATAGCACGGTTGCCCAATGTGACGTTGCACTATGTACTTCACTTCTGATGGCTTCAAAATGTGACACTTTGTGGTGATACCAACAAGTCATTTCCTAAAACAGATGCAAGACACACATTTATACAACTTGAACATCCATGAAGGACAGCTTTTTCTTGTTTTTTTTTTTTCATTTTATAAATTTCTTTCAATGTAATCTAATGTGTTTGCCCATAATGAATATGTCTTTGGTGGACATAGAAAGGTCACTCAAATCACTGTAACTTGTGTCTGCACTACCTCTATGCCTATGACAAGGCTTATTTGAGAGTGTACATTGAAGTCAAGTTGCATAAATATCCAAGACTTAGTTTACATACATTGACACTTGATCTGTCCATGTGTATAATACATTAAATGATGTAACCTGCTTTTTGTACAATAGTTTCACACAACACACATTGACATCATGATATTGCTGTAATTTCTTTTCATCTTTAACCCTAAACTTCCCCAACCACACAGAATTAAACAATAGTAAAGTGTTTAATTCGGTGGGGATAGGTCTGGTAGGCCCATAACAGCTGGCTTTTGCATTGGGTTTGGCATACCTCAGAAAAACAAAGTCCAACAGCCTCTGTGCACAAAGTCCCATATGGGTGTTTAACTTTGTGTGAATGGGGAAGGTTAGGGTCAGCAACCCTTGGTGGGTTAGGGTTAATATGACCCTGCCTTTCCACAAGCTGACATTCAATCGGATAGGATCCATAGTTCCTTAGACACTGGGATGAGAACAGTGCACATCTAAGATAGTGTCACGTGACCTCTGAAAACTGGCAACGGTCATCTAATGTGAGATGGACACCATAGAGTTTTGTGTTGACAACATAACAAAGCTAACAGTCTGGAGACATGTTTGAAATCAAAACAGAACCTGAAACTCTGGAGTGAAATTTTGAAAATGAAGACAACATCAAGAAATTCCTAATGAAGAACGAGGACCTACTAACCTGGCTGTCTACGTGTTCCTGATCTAAGCCCACAACCTTTGACCCAAGTGTCATCGAATACAAATTCATACTGTTGTAGCTACGACTTGGCTACCTGTGTTTATGTACAAATGTAATGTACATGTAATGTGCAATGACAAAAATAGGACTTTCTTGTCAGCCATTGACCAATGAAGGAAGACACGCAATAGCCAGACAAGCACATACATGTAGCTGGTGAGGTGAACAAGCTAGGCACTGCAAGCTCGCGAGGGAAGGTTTACGGCAGGGGCCATTTGCTCACTCAGTGAGCAAGCCAACAGTCAACCAACAGTCACACCTCAAGACTTACTTGAGAAGTCCCTGGTCCCAGCCTTTAATCACCTGGCCAGCACCAAGGGTAAAAACGAACGGTGAACCTCTTGGTATACTGCTGTCAAACTCAGTCCCATCCTGTAGAGTTCCCTATTAACAGATCATAAAATCAATGTGTAATCAACATTTAATCCAGGTTTCTGCTTTGTGCGAGATATTAAAAGAATACTTCATTAATACCTGGTCAGACTGGCAAAGAGCCAATTAAGTCAATCAAAACAGACTTTAGTTTTTAAGATAGGTGTTGCTAATTTACACACAAGCTTTCACATGTCATTCTAGGAAATGAATGTGGGGGAAAACAAATGGTTTGTATATATTTTGGCATCAGTTCCTTGTCAGACTGCTGTATTTTAGATGCATGAATATTATTTCAATGAATCGATAGACTTTATTTCAAAGCACTACTTCCTATGAAGATCAAAGGAACTGTCTCTGTTAGGTACATCCACGCATATTTCCCAAATGACAGGAATTTAAAGAAACTTTTCTACAGCAAAATCTTGGGGGGGGGGAATTCAATGGCAAATCACAACATATAATTTGCTCTGTATGAATTACTATTTTTCAAACATGCATTCAGACCAAAAGCCATAGTGGAAAATTATGTACATATACAGGTACGGCTGCAGGGTGCATGTAGTCCTTTTCCAAGTTTGGCAAATTTGCTGCTGCGATGAAGTGGTTGCTGCTGCAAGAGCTTTAATATATAATCCGTGTTCTGTCACATCCTCTTAACTATTTCAATATTCATTTTTATGACAAAGGTAAAAAAAAGAAATGAAATTTGCACCGTCCACTGAATATTGGATTGTGAAAACAAATATTTGAATGTCCAACAATTAATGGAACATTCAAATATCGGGCACATTCCTGGCAAGTACGACACTAGATACATGACCCCTGTGACAGGATGTTGTAACAAACTCTGCTTACCGTGTAATGCATGTGCAACGTGTCCCCTGATTTGGACCTCTGCTCACAGTTCTCCACTTTCTTCTTGACGCCAATCTGGAGCTTCTTGGGTTTATCTCCCGCCTCCACATCAGTGAAGAAGGTGCAGCTGATGACGAGAATGACCAGCACAATGGCACTGACTATGGACTTGCAAGGCACCATCTTGAGTGGGTCTCTTGAATCTGACTGGACATTAGAAGATGAGGGAAAAAAATAAAATTCAAAGTACGAGTAGTTCTGCACTCAATTGGGGAGTTCTAGGCAAGTGTTTGGCTGGGAGGGGGAGTGGAAGTGCTTGAGGGAAGGGGTTGGAAGTACTTGTGGAAGCAGGGTAAAAGCAAAGATCGTACAGTGCCCAAAGGCGCAAGATGGATAACTCTGCCCAAAAGGTGTACTCACCATGGGTGCCATTTGAGCAAGCGATACGCTTGTGCATTTCAGTTTTGCGCACAAGCACAGGCGCATCCGGTGTATGTGCCTGTCGTGGCGCCTGCACCTGTGCATTAATGTGCACTGCACAGGCGTATTGCTTGCTCAAATGGCGCCAATGCGATTACATTTTATGAGTATTCACAGTGAAGTTCTCCATCTTTGGGTAAAAGTGAAGAGGATCTAAACCCCAACTCTAATCCCCAAAGGTGTTTTGGCTAAAACCCCTGCCAGACGTATCAGTCTGCTCGTTTATCAAAGTTGCTTGTCTATCCAGTGCAACAAGATCTAAAATTTCCACTACTCTCAAGACCAGGTGGCCAAAGGATCCAGCTAAGGTATTGTTTAATTAGAATAGCTCTCATTTTTTCGACATGGGCCATTTCTTTGGCTGCTGTAGCTACACTTGTCTATTATTTTCTGCCAAAGAAAATTTCAGGAGTTACCCTCAGAAAACTTGAAATACTGTAGCACATGCTCACCAAGACACAAAACACTGTACAACACTCTATCCTTCCAATTGGGAAGAGCGCCCCCAAGTTACCCAGACAATGTCTTTTATCTTGAAAAGTGAAAAAAAATCTAGTGAGGCCTTCACTGTTTTGCCCTGGGAGAGCCGTGCTGTTGGCTGTCCAGTGCAGCAAAGTGCACCAGACTTTGCACTGATATTGGCTGCACTTTCCTGAGGGAACTCGGACCAGTGGGACAACTTAACTGTGCATCGAGTGGAGAGAGAAGTCATCCCATTTAGACAAGTTGTCAGCTGAGACACCTCCACTCATGAGGTTTTGGTACCTCGCTGGGTACCAATAGTGGGAAGGATCATCACGTAATAGACAGGCCTGTTTAGAATTTATTCCAAAGGGACGAACTTCTAATAATATGTTGGGCATAATCAGCCAATCTTGCACGATTTATTAATCTTATCAAGACTGGAACATATGAAATCTCTGCTTCATTTTATAGTCAGTTTGACCATTGCTGCTTCGCCTACGCCATTTCTCAAAATTGAACAAGAAAAAGAACTGTACCACCACATCCCTTCAAGAATCCATTTTTAAGTGTCTCCATCTGTAAAGGAATCCAAGGGAAAGATTTCCATATACAAATAACACTTATTTTCCCTTAAAATGTTATAACAGCCACCAGAAAGTGATAACATGTCCTAAAAAGTGAAATTTAGCTAGAAAACACCAAAACACAGTTTCTCCTCATAATTTCCCTCAACATTACAAACTGACCTCTTTTCGCAACACCAACCCTTCAGTTATTTCCCATGAGGGAAGAGTTCATACACGGATGCCAATAATTCCTCCCTGACTAAATAGCCATCAGAAAGCAAAAACATGTCCAGAAAAGTTCAATTTAGGAGGGAAAATAAAAAGTCATTTGCTGAGAAAACACAATTTTTCAGACAAGTCTCATAAGGTTTGTGCACAGGGAGTCAAGTGGCATCTGTATATCATTACGGAACACTTTCCGACCATGGACCAGGATAGTCACAAACACCAAGATGAACCCAAAAGTTACAAGGAACAAGGTCTATCCTCAGTAGAATAAGTAGAAAATCTGTGTGCATGCACAGAGTAGGCCTCAGTGGTGTAGCCACGGGGGGACCGGGAAGCACATGCCCCCCTTAGATTCCAAGTGCCCCTCCCCCGGTGCCCCCACTGGGAAAAAAGGATGGATATTGAACAAAGCTAACAAAAACCTGCCCCCCAAAACAATACCACTGAGATGCTGGTGCTCCCTTTGTGCTCCCCCACCATGCCAAAATCTATTGGAGGTACCGCCACTGATACTTGGCCTAGGCGGGTCCTAGCCCTGGTTGGACCATGGAGGATTAAGAACACATTGTTTTCATTTCATTACGACTACGCGCATCATCTACTACTAGTCAGGGAGTCCACCTGGGCTAGCCTAGGCCCCTACTATTGCGCTAGTGCCCAAGGCTTAGGGCCCTCTGTTCATAACGCCATGCTGAGTGTACATGTACATGTAGTTCGGCTACAAATTTGGCAGAAAAATGGCATCACACCGTCTGAACATTGGGGTATTTTCCTCCCTCCATGGTCTGAATATTTTACATGTTTGAGCAATCCGTTTCGCTGGTCTATCCTAAATCCTACCTGCCTAGATTCTTTAATTTGTCGCTGTCGCACACAGATTTGTTATAAAATTTTGAATGGTGTACAGGCCTACAATGTAGTAGCATCCAACGTCTTCCAATGTTAAATTTACACAGACATGACACGTGTACCACGCCGATAAGCGAAGTGTACGTACATCCATGTACATGTACATGTACATGTACGTAGACCACACGCGGGCGCGGCCGGCGCGGCCGGCGCGGCCGGCCAGCCGGTTTTTCCCGGCAAATTCAACTTCAGCTGAACGGCCGCAGACGGCGAACTTCCAAACTAGCCCCGAGAAAGAGGTTGCTTAATGGCTTTGTGTAACGCCAATGTGATCTTTTATAACCTAGACTCCTTTAGGGCACTCGTCGCATAAGTAAAACCATGTTGTTTAGAACCAGACTACACATAGTGTCAATGCATGCAGCCTGCAGCCGGCCGGCCGCCTGGCCGGCCCGGCGCGGCTGCGCTGCATACTAGGCCTGCGAAACGTTTTATTTACGCGTTTGCACTCTTAGTCCGAGAACCTTGGAACTCGTTTTGGACGGAATCCGTTGCATCCTAGCTGAAAATCATGTCGTAAGTTATTTATATTTTCAAGCATATTTAGTTTAACACTTGATTAATATTATGTGGTGGCATTTTTGCATTATTTCTGTAAATATGCTACTAAATTTAACGATTCCTCAAATAATATTTGTAGTACCGGTACAGCCTGAAAACAGCAGGCCAGGCTTTAGAAAAAGTACCAAAACAGTTTTTGCGAAGCTTGCCCTACATAGTACTTGTATACTTAATTATTTCGTATTTGTGACCTGTCGCCACAAAATGAGCTGAAAGTCGGAATATTCAAAAATTGAGATATTGGTGTTTTATAAGTCAGCAGGAAAAGAGCTTTTCACAATTCCAGCTGTCCAGTGGCAGGCGTATGTACGTGTATATGGAACTCTACTTAAGGTAGAAAATATGACGACACTGTGAAATGAGTTTGGCAGCTTTGGGTCTTTAGCCCTGTCCGCACTGGACTTTATTTTCCGAGAATTACCGAGCCGATGGGAAAATCAAAAATGGGCAAACTTTACCACCATCCGCACTTGGAGTTGGACTTTTGACGCGGGGATTTTTACCGAGACACGTGGGAAAAGTAACCAAGCTGTCACTATAATAGCACATGAGGGTGCTTTGAGTGACCTTTCATGTTCACCCTTTAACCCAACTTCTTTTACAAACTTCTGGTCGTGACAGTTCTTCCAATGATACATGGATGGCCCCAATTAAACTTCCGATTGTCTTAGTAATAATATCTGCCATCATTCGAGAGACTCTAGAACACAAAATCACTGCACAGCAACCAGAATTAGGCTTCGTGGTGTGTGTATGTATGTGTATGTACATGTATGGACGCTTGCAACGAACATGCACAGGGTTCGTGTGAGCCTGACCTTGCCAGTAAACCGGATGTACGCTTCCCTGAGCTGCTTTTACCGTCTCACACTGTCCGCACTGGACTTTCTGTCTCGGGAAAAGTGTCTTGGGAATTCTTCCTGGCCAGAAGTTGGCGCGGCTCGGGAAAAGTAACCGAGAGGAAGTCTTCTGGGGACGTCTGCACTGGACTTAATCCCTCGACGACGGGAACTTTTTTCTGAAAGCCGACTCTGAGAATTCCAGCCTTGCTTGGCCACGAAGGCCACCTGCCAAACCGCAAATTCTCAGTTTGTGGCCCTGCGTGCTCTGCATGCTTTGAATTACGCAGTGAAAAGACTCATTGTTCGGTGGCATGCAGCTTTACTCACGCTTCCACATTCCCGTTGCCTCTTTTCAAAGTGAGGACTATTGTGAAGCTGGTAATTATGATGCAAATTTGGTCTTTTCATTTCTGGGCTACACACAAAGACCAATTACCATAGACACAAGAGCCAGGGTCTGCTTTCTTTCACCGTGTTCTCTCGAGCGTGGGCCGAAAATAATAGCTGAAAAGCGGGCTGAGGATCTCAATTTTTACAGCGGCTCTTACCGTCATCCGTCGAGACAGGGTTAAAATGGGCAAAGTACCCATCGTATTAGTAAGTTTGCCCCGAAAAAGTCCAGTGCGAACAGGGCTTTTGTTCCTGACATTGTTTCAACATTTCTTACCAGGCATGAATAATGCTATCATCGAAATTGCTGAGAACATGACATTTTTAAATATATGATTCTCAGAAAACGTTTGGAATGACACAGAAAACTGGTAATTCTTCTAAATATTTCAACTCCCCTCCCCCCCCAAAAATTGACCTCCACTTCAAAATGACTTTGAAACCTCACAATAGGTAAGAGCGGAATGCGACTTTATGCCCATTTTGTCGTGGTAGGTCACATTTCAGTACTGCTTTGCCAAAATAATTATACATAGTTTCCTGACTTTTGATATTTGATTGCAGTTCCAGGAGCAGGTTCGTGTGCCAGAGGCTAAGAATTTTTTTTTCTCCATGGAGGAACGAATAGTCCCTTCTCCATGATTTGTCTTTGTTTTTGTGTTGTCAATGATTTGTCTTTGTTGTCATCAGACTTAGACTAGTCCGAGTAACTTGGACCCTACAAATCACCTTGTTTAACATTTGGATATGGTTGTGCAATAGTAGGGTCCAAGTGCCTTTCTTTGCTTCCATTAATCGTTTCACTCAAACTAGCTCCTACCCTGAATCAAAATTCTCCAAATTCACCTCCAAATTGGTCCTTAAACTGTCTAATGCACTCGGCTTAGGATCAAGTGAGAATCTAAGATTTCAATAATGATGATAAGGTTTACTCTTTACTCACATTTGGGAAGAAAAGAAAACTTTCCCCTTCAAATTAGAAACGGTCTTGTTGTCGAGCACGATGTCGCCGTTTTGTTCAAATAGTGATTTGAACTGCATGTTAATGTCCTGGAGGTGACATCACGGCATGCCGGCCTTTCTAGCGGACCATACATATAAAGCATACAGTGTCAGCACACACCCGCCGACGACTGATTCCTGAGCACCCCATGTCCAGCGTACATTTTTGATGTGACATACTGTGCTCAAGAATCAGTCATCGGCACGCATGTGCCGACCCTGCATGATTTTTGTGAATGGTCCACGAGAGGGTGGTGCACCATGACCTTGCTAAATTTTCCTTGTTAAATTTCATTTTTGGGGGACATGTTATCTCTTTTTGATGGCTCTGTAATGTTTTAACCCTAACCCTCAGTTCTCCAAAACCTTTGGTTTTGGAGGATTGAGGTTGAATGACAAAGAATGTCGTGCGTGAAGGTCGTGGGTTAGACCTGTTGTTTTTGCTTAGTCATGCTTAAATTCAGCCAGTTCTTTTGAATCAACCACACTGCTCAAGAATGCCATTCGCACTGCTTCAACATAATAACAGGAATTGCCAAAGGAGTTGAAGGATTGAGGCAGTTGGCACATCTCCAAGTAACATTTCCAAGACATTTTGGAGGATTTCAGAGGATTGACAGAGAATTCAATTTTCACCCCCTCCCAAATTGGAGGATTTTGGAGGGTTGAGAAAGGTCCCTAGAAAAAAGGGCCTAACCCCCTAGGCCTTTTTACAAGGAACCATCCTGAATCCTCCAAAATCCTCCAATTTTCAACATGAAAAATTGCATTTAGCCCAAATCCTCCAAAACTTCTTGAAAGTGTCATTTGGAGGTGTGCCTAACTGCCCAAATCCTTCAGAATCCTCCGGCAATTCCTTTCATTATGTTTAGGGAAGTGTAAATTGGCACTCTTGAGCTGTACAATTGATTCAAAAGAAATATCAGGCTAAATTTGTGCTTGACTAAGCACAAACAACATAAGGTCTAATCCACGACCTTCACGTATGACATCCTTCGAAATCAGCCATGCACTTTTGCCATATACCCTGAATCCTCCAAATTCCTCCACTTTGCAGAGAAGGATTTGGGAGAGTTAGGGTTACAGAAAAATTAGTGTTGTCCATATATGTATATGAAACTCCCCCAATATTTCCCTCCAACATTTGACCTTATAGCTGTCCGACTGTCTGAAAGCGTTGAAATGTCCTAAAAAGTCAAATTTAATAGTGAAAATTTTGAGGTAGGCCCTAGGCAATATTCATCCTGTTCACTTGGAAAACACTAAGAAAGAATTTTCCAAAAACTCCACATTCGTTGCCCACTTTCCCAGGAGTATACATAAAATTTGTTTTATAGATTGATGTATAAAACACACACCTGCTAGTCATTTGAAATTGTAAGGAAGTTGAACATGCTGTTTTTGATGGTTGGAGATAATTTGGGCATGTTAGGATAATTTAAACATTATTCTTCGCTAGCCTTTTAGAAGTATGGCGGACACAGTGATCTCCCAAAATAGTGTAAACAACGAATGAAAAATCTCTTCCAAATTGCCCACTGTTTTTTTCACGTCAGAGGCAAATGACTGTGACTTACATGTAAGTGGTGCCATCATTTCTTGGGCTGAGAACCAGTGAAATGTAACCAAATTGCACAGTAAACACTGGCATTCCTTGCTTCCAAATAAACAAATTCGGACTGTACACAAATCCACATGTGTGGGAATGGATACAGAATCATGACGTGAAACCACAGCAACCGCAAAGCAACCCACATATTGGTGCCAGTTGGAATGCTCTGACGACTGCATGAAATGGTCAAAAAGACAGAGTGAGGATTAAGACTTGGCATGCAACAGATGCCAATGTAGGTGCAGTGTTGACAGTGTATGGCATTTTGGGAAACAGTCATTAGCCCTAACCTTCCCCAACCACACACAATTAAACAGTTGTAAAGTATTTAATTCGGTGGGAATAGGTCTGGTAAACCCATAACAGCTGGCTTTTGCAATGGATTTGGCATACCTCAGAAAAAAAGTCCAACAGGCTCTGTGCACAAAGTCTGATAGGTGTTTAACTTTGTGTGAATGGGGAAGGTTAGGGCCAGCAATCTTGGGGGTTAGGGTTAGAGTATGCGGATGGGCTCTTGGATGTCGCAGCAGGCAAATCTACTACATACATGTAGTTCAACATCAGAAGTCACGGAAAGGGAGTACAGGCCCCCCCAGTTACTGGTTTCACTTGTGTCTGATTCCAAGGTTGTTAACAAAACCCAAGAGTGAGATGACTGCTGAGGAGCTCGCTAAGCGGGAAGAGGAAGAGTTCAACACAGGCCCGCTTTCAGTCCTGACACAGTCCGTCAAGAACAACACGCAGGTCCTGATCAACTGCCGCAACAACAAGAAACTGCTGGGCAGAGTCAAGGCATTTGACCGGTGAGGCAAAGAGTAGCGACTAGAGGACAGGGCAAAGACTTGTGACTGAGAACTTACAACTGTAATCTTGTGCAAACTGCAGAACATGATAGTTACTTAAGGGAGTGTTGGACACTGAAACACCACCGCTGTCATGTAAAGGTACCGTGGTTTTTGTATGCATCCAGTTGACATAGTTATCGTGTGCACTTTGTGTCCAGTGCACTTGCAAAATATGCAGGATGTGTCTTGCTGACTGTTGCGACTGTGAGTTGCCCCCACGGAGCCTTCCACAGTTCCTGCAGTGCCCATTGAACACACGGGCACCTGCCTCATGCAGCTGTGTAAAGTGTAATAACTTGTTTCCTTTTTCAACTAGATGTTTTGCATTGTTAATGTTAACAGGCATTGCAACATGGTTTTGGAAAATGTGAAGGAGATGTGGACAGAGACCCCCAAGGCAGGTAAAGGGAAGAAGAAGTCCAAGCCCGTCAACAAGGACCGCTACATCTCCAAGATGTTCTTGCGAGGAGACAGCGTCATCTTGGTCCTGAGAAATCCCCTGGCCACCGCCAAGCAGTGATCCATGTCCAACTGTTCAAATTGAAGACTTTCCCGGACAATACTTTTGAGGATTCTTTTTTTTTTTTATTTAAAAAAAAACCCACACGGCCCAGTTCATGCAGGAACAGACAGACACTCTGGGGATACCTCCCCCCAAAAAGCGTCAGTGTGCAACAATACCTTGACCAGTCTGTCATTAGCTCTGCAGTCCACTGTAAAATAAGTGCACCAAGAGAACAGAAACTGTTGTACTGCAAATAAAGCCACTGTGGAGATAAGCCTCCTGTGGCTTTGATACTTTATGTTTTGCTGTATACCATCTTTGTCGATGTGCTGATAGATACCAGGATATCATGTCACCACACAAATTGTCGGAAGATTTTTGGATTGGATGCTGCATTTTAAGCTTTACTGTCTGCTCTGCCTGGCACCAAATTCCAACTAAATGTACAATTCGTTATTCTCTTTTGAATATACCCATCCAGTAAACCCTGCCCACTGCACACACAAGCAATTAGCACTAGCTTCTCCACAAAGCCATGGTGCATGTGCTCACTGCCATCTGCACCTGTCGTACACCTGTGCACACATGGCCAAGCATTTATGCCTGCGTTGTTTCTGAGACTTAAATCACGTTTGTGATTGGTCGGTAGACCATAGGGTGGGGCTGAATGGATCACTCTGTTGCAAATTAAAAATACTGTTGGATGCTCTTGAACTGGAGACCAATTTCAGGTGTGTGGCTAACCTTTACTGTGGTGCAAGATTTAACTTGCTTTAGTGTACAAAGACAAATGATGCTGGAGTCGGAACGCTGAAACACCTGCTTGATGCATGTGAGTGTAGTAATCACCAATTTTCAGTCCTGGTTACCGTTCATCCTTCACTCTTCAGCAACAGCAATCCCCTCCCCCCAAGGAAAAAACCTCCATTCAAACATGCACTTTTGGCAGGAAAACTGCATGTACATGTATTAATTCTTGTAAATACATTAAAGTTTGTGTAATGCTGGAGTAGGAAATTTGTAAATTACTTGGATTGTTTTTTAAGTTTTTGTGTCTGAAGTATACGTCCAGGATGCACTGGTGTACATGCTCAGCATGAGCTGTGACCTTGCTCTACCCTTCTACCTTTTTATACAGGTTGACAAAATTTGTAAGTTCACCCTTAGGGGCTGTCAGTGGACCCTTTCACAGGACAAACTGTGAGCGCAGCCCACTGAAAATGTACACCTACACATCGCACAGGGCTATGGCCTTCATGGTTTCTCAGATTCGCCGAGTTCTTTTCATGCTTGTCCTCGGGAATCCCTCTAATATCACCCTAGTTCCAAGTGAACTTTCTGGTCAGAGTGTATGGTGGATGGCATTCCCCCCTCCTGTGACACCCTATTTACTTTTATGAACAGCTCCTTGGTTTTGTAACAAGTTTTGGCTTATGTCAATGCTTATATGCGCTGGTCTTAAAGAGGAAGGTTCATGTACATTATAGTTCTGTTTTGCAGTAGTATGGTGTTTTGATAGCTCGGAGAGACTCTGTAATGTTATGGGAATTATTCTTAGGCTGTTGTGCCAATGGGTCAGTCATGCTAGGCAAAAAGAATCAGACTCGGCAGGAGAAAAACAGTATTGGCAACTCCAATGCCAGGCCAGATGTTCCTGGTGGACCTTCATGCAAGTACAAGGGAATACCTCTCGTGCACAAATTTTTATTCAATATAGGAGCTTGTACATGAACTTCGAAGTTGCAACCATTGTGGTTTGTGTATTTCATCGGGAATATCCACTTCCTTAACCCGTGTGCATGACTGTATTGTGGAACTTTACAAAGATCCCAACCTGACAGCAGTTTGGCCACAAAGCAACATTTAGTTCTAAGGAGGGTACTGTATGAAAAGTGTACATGTACCAAGTCTACGTGTATAAAATAATGAACATTTTTCATCATGTGGTCGCCCCCCAATGAGAATATTGTTCACATTTTGAAGTTCCAAATGCAGTCTCAAGGTCCTCGGGGTGACGCATACAAGATATACAAATATGGCCATACATGTTTATCCCAGGACTCGTCAGGGGTTTGGTCACATTTTCCATATCAGTCCAAGTGGGGCAGGCATAGGGTGTTGTGTGGGCATCATGGGGAAAGGAAGTACTTCCCCTCCACCAAAATATTGTATGAAAAAAGAAAACAAAAATAAGAAATAAAATCACAAATTTGCTTGAAAAAAACTGCCACCTTCCTCCTGCTCATAGTTTGTAAGTTCATGGCCAATGAGTGCTCCCTGTCCCCTCAAAAAAGGTTGGAAACGGCTGGGTACATGATAAAGTGGTGTGTACGTATTTGACCCGTCTTTTCAATGTAGCTTCCCCTGGACAAGCCAGAACGAAGTTCGCATTACTGCAAGACCTTGCAAGTTTTGTATTTAAAATGGACAGTTTCAAATGAATTGGCTCAGCTGAAGTTAACACTGCTGCCCTTGGCGGTCAAATTGATGGGCATTATTGCTTTCACTACCACACAAGTAATGTACATGCACTTTAGAAGCCAGTCTCTGAATAAGAACACAGTTCAAGCAAACGGACATTAACCCTAACCCTCCTCAATCCTTCACCTGTTGGAGGACTGAGGAGGGTTAGGGTTAAAAGCACCAAACTTATAACACTTGCAACGAAATCTTGGAATGCAAGGTACAACAAAATTTATTCTCAATCACAAAAACACCATGTCTGATGCATTAAGGGTGTAGCATACACAAATTTAACTAACCACTCAAAAATAAGCTCCCACGCCTTATCCCTCTTCTTCCCTTGACATCTCAATACAAGTATAAAATCAGGTTGATTACCAATGCTGAACAAGAACACATCAAGATCCCTGCACCCTTGTCCTTTATTCCAAGCCGATTTCATGACTTTCAAACGAATGTAACTAAAAATTTGCCACGAAATGTGAGAAAACCCCAAGTCCACAGCCTTATTTCTGCATAAATTTTTCAGCAATATCAAAACTTCATGAGTGGGGGAGACAGTATCTTCCAAAGTGACATTCAAAACAAAATGAACATTTACACCTCGCCCTCAAAAAACCCTACTGTTATGACACTATATGGGACACCAAACTTGCGCAAACCCAACACAGAACATTTAATATACAGTTAAAAAGCGTCAACTCCTTTTCAAATTGGACATAGCCCAGGGTACCACAGGAAATTCAGAACTCCTCTTCCACTGAAATGCCAAAACTACCTTGCCGAGTGACACAATTTCGCAACGTTACCACATTACCTCGGGATTTTTAGACCTTACTTCAATAGTTGCCTTAAACCACATCCACTAAAAAAATTGCCACTAACGAAACTACATGTATCTGACAAGCTCTTTCCTTCAGTAAACTGAAGCTGCTAAAACAAAATATCCACTTGGCTTTAAAAAGTAACATCCCTTAACTGTATGTCCTATTTGTCAGTCTGGCTTGGTCAATTATTCAAAATGACAGTCCCTCGGATGACTTTTTTTTACACTGTACATAAAACTGAGGCATTCTTTCAACCCACTCTCTGTCATTAAATATCCAAAACAAGAACTGAGACCCCTCTTCAGGAGTTCTTTCTTAATAAGATGCTATTACAGACTGCGCCAAATTCATACATGAATGAAATCAAATACATGTTAGCATGTCCAAAAACATAGGCAATCTTGTTGGATAAATCAAAACAAACTCAGGAGCTGACCAACTAACTTCAAATCCTTCCTCTCAAGGTTTTGTTCCGACTACAATGCCAACCATAATACCTAGAATCCAAATGTGCCCATGATCAGTCACTCCAGCATCTTAATCCTTGGGGCTTGCCGATCGGGATTTGGAGCGTGAGAGAGAGCGGGAACGCGAGCGCGATAGGGACTTGCGTGGTGAGGCACGTGGCGACTTGGACTGGCTGCGTCTGGGGCTCTTGCTCCTGCTGCGACTCTTGCTGACACTGCGGGAACGGCTGCGGGAGTGGCTGGCGGACCGTGAGCGTCGGGACCGGCGCGGGGAACGTGAGCGAGAACGGCTGCGGCGTGGCGAGCGGGAACGACGTGGGGAACGGGAACGGGAACGTGACCGGCTGTGAGAGTAGTCCCGTCTATCAACAGAAAATAAAATAAATACAGAATTCAATATTCGTATGTCCTTTGACATCAACATCAAAATGTACTGCAAAATTTATGGTAGCCGAATCTTGTAATAAGACTATACAATAACCAGTACAGCATTTCAAATCCAAAATATTTAAGGTAGGCTCACAAACCCCACTTGTAGGCTTGTAAAAATCTTTAAATGCAATACCATCAACTCTACAAAACCAAGTAAGCTCATCAGGATAATCAACATAGGTTGGCGAAATACAACATAATTGTGACCTGGCCTAGTGGAAGGTTATTTCAGTGCGAGACCTCTCTCCATGCAAGATTTCCTTACCTCTTCTTGTGTTGGGTATCCTCAATGATCTTGATGGTCCTTCCATTCAGCTCGGTTCCATCCAGTTTTTTAATGGCATTGTGCATGTCCGACCATGTTGCAAATTCAACAATTCTGCCATTGGAGAGAATCAGGGATAAAAAGTTTGTGTCTGCTGTTGGGGATCTGTCAACTGAGGGATCAGTGGAGTGGAGGTCAGCATTGCAAAACAAGCAACCCAAGTGTCACGTTAACATTTTATTGCCACGAGATGGGCCCACATTTTCAGTTTGTGTACACCAAAGCATGACACTTAATACTCCAAGGATGTCACCATAACAGGAACCAAGTCTTGCTTACATCCTCACACAGCCACAGACAGCAAAACGTTGCAACACCCACCTTTGTACAGATGGCCCACTATAACTGTTGTAAATCACTTTGGCACATACAGTTGAAGCAAAGTCTCTCAGCACATTTGTTTCCGCAGTCATTCACACTCTCCTAAGAGGCAAGCTTTCCTGTTGCTTCTTTAAACATTTTTCTTACGTGTTTACGTTTTTAGGCACGCAATGTCATACATTAAACCTCAGATGACTTCAGATCTCTCACTTAAACCCAAAGCGCACAGAAAAAAAACCCTCACCCTTCATTTTTCCGCTGCTTGTGTGCATCTGCAAAAGTAACCTCACCAGCTTGTCGCATGTAATCTTTCAGGTCCTGCAGAACAGGAGCGCAAACACACCAAAGACAGACACAATCATGAGGGGCTTTCATTTCAAAGGTGACCAACATGTGCAACATTCACAGCTTTACGGTACTTTAAAATGAACAAATAGCACTCCGCTGTCCGCATAGCATTTGGATATCACGTGGGCTGCATGCTTGGTAAGGAGAGACAAAATGGTGACAAAAAGGTATCATTTCCATCAGTGAGTGCATCAAGATCAAACCTGTGGAGATGGAGAGTATGAAAAAGACAGGCAATGTGGAACACGTACCAAAACATTTTGCCCATGGTAACAGAATGCAAGGTGACATTCAAGCAGCATTAAAATCTTGCAAGGATTGTATTTGCCTTTTCAAATCTTCATCCGTGTCAAAAATGTTCCCTTTGAAATGAACCCATGACAGTCTTCTGCTTTTAAATAAATGCTGCAACAAAGAAAAGCCTAGTATTCTAAGCTTTCCTATTCCAAAAACTGCTCTCCAAGCCCCTAATGTCTGTTACCATGGTCTAATCCAAGCCCTTAACTTTCGTTCTCAAGCAAATACCTCGAAGCAGATTTAAAATGATGGAACGGGCACTGAATTTTTTCCTACTGATAACCATCTCAACTGATATTTATCTAAACTTTCCAACAGCAGGTTGCAACTTAAATGAGAAAAACAGGGAGCATGAAAGGTTAGGCGCCTCAATTTTCATTTTCCTTTTTTAACGACTATCATATTTACCTGCAGAATGCCCAGCACTCACAATCCATACAAGGTTGGTTTATAGTGGCTTGCACCAAATTAACAGGCCTATCATGCGAGATAACTCAGGCAATCTCTTCACAAGACTAGCCATAATGCATGAGGGATAAATGACCAAGAAATATGAGAGAATGCAGGTTGAATGCCAAAGTCACCAAGATCCTTCCGATACTGCTAAGCAGTGAGCTACTTTAAACCAACCTTGAAGTCCCCATCATGCAAAATAAATACAATTCGTCACTGCCAAGGAAGGAAGCGGTGAACAACCTGAAACAAAAAAAAACCTCCTCTGTAATAAAACAAAATGGAGACTGGCTTGGTTGGCTGGGCTTGACGTGTCGAACCAAGTTGAGCAGCTCCATCTCTCTGCAGCTACTAGTACTCTGCCCTGAATTGACCCTGCACACAAAACAGTCCTTGGCTACTGGAGGAAAGGGTGTGACAACGGCACAAAGATTATGGATCTTCGCCCCTAAAATGTGGTGTGCCTGCTGTTTCAGCAAACATTTCACTTCAAATTCTCCCTGCAGGATAGGGCAGGTAATTGCTTGTTCACAACTTACAAAACTGTACTGCCCTGTTTTTCATGAGTCGTTTTTCTTTTTCTTTCTTTGCCAGCGAGCATACCCTTTCCCCCAAAGTGCTTCCAGACAACGGGGACTCTGGTTATCATTACTATACCTTCCAGCAGCCGGGCAAGGCCGACCAGGGCTCTCACCAGCCATCATGATATTTGGGGGGAAGACCGCTACACACAAGACCCATGAGAGAACAGCCAGACAGGCCCCCACAAGTGGGGTCCCGGTCACTATAGCATGACAGCCAGCCAGCCAGCCTTCAGCTCAGATTATGGCACCCCGAAGGGAGCAGTGGTAGGTGGTAGTCGAACCATCAAGTGACACACCTAAGGTGCGCTTCTGTGTCCAATGTGATTTGGACAACGGCAAATGGTAATTTTTTTCATTTTGGTTTTTTATCAATAAAAACTTTGAGACTTTTTTCATTTAAAAAGTGTTCCATTTTTTTTCATGGATATTTTAATCGATGGTATTGACTGTGACTTCGCAAAGAAAGAAAACCAAAATTTTTGAATTTAGATCTGCCATCAAAATTTTGACAAACATTAAGGGTCAACTGAAAATGTGAATGTTTTAACAATTTTCTCAAATTGTTTGGTTGGTAATAACACATGCGTATGAATTCTTCATTATAATCTTTATGGAAAGAATACATAAATTTTGGAATCTTCATCTTCAGAATGTTTGATTTGAACACAGTCATTTTTGCTCTGATAAGAGATTTTCATTTTCTTGTTTTTTATGTACCAACAAAAAAGTGGACGTTTTGGTTGGGAGTAAAAGAAAAAAAGCATGCCGTCATTGGCCTGTGATTTTGCATAGATCATCCTTCAGGGTAACAGCAAGGTGGTGGTCTTCCAACCAGAACTGCCACAATGAGTGAGCCTTCTGCCTCGCAATCTTTAAGGGGGAAGCTGGTAAAGAAGCCACAGCTGCGGGCGGCCAGCCAACCAGGACCCTGTCGAGCCTTCAAGCCCCTCAGAGCGATGGTCCCATCATCCTCTGTCAGCCTGCAACCTAGCCCCTGTAAGCCCCTCGTTAGTGGGTTTAACCGGGGAGAGACCAACTTCCCTCGCATAGCTAGAGAGACAACACCCTCGCGGCTCTTTACAAGGGGCCATCATGATCTCAGTCGCTAAAAATAGTGCTGAAGAAAGGACAACATTGCAATGGTCAGTTGGCCTCTAGGTTCAAGTAAACACAATGAAATGAGAGGATTTCAAATGATTTGAAAAAAAAAGAAAAAAAGCATCAAATCCTTCCCGTCCCCTACTTCCAAAACAAGTAGAAACTTTGGGACAAAATCTGAGGATAAATCTGATGAAGAAAGAAGGGTCATGCATGAATGGCACGTAGAAACCTTTTTAAAATGAGTCCCATGTTATTTTGAGTGCTACTATTGGGTGAGAGGTGTACTCTGAAGTCAACTTTTAGGGGGCCGAGTTGAAAAATGTGCGGCTTACCTGCCAACTGACACGACTGGACAGGCGTTCCACGATAACACGGTAGTCTGTGCGCACAGGTGGGCCATACCTGCAAATCATTGAAAAAGTTCACACGCAATCAACACTTAATTTTCAACTGGTTAGCGTGTATTATTTCAGTGTTGTTAGTATACATATCCCCAAATGACTTGTGGCTGACCTCTGAACACTTCTGAAAACATTCTTTTTCGTGTGTGTTTGCAGCAGAAAGGCTAGCTTGATGAAACAGAAATTAGCAATAGCTTCTAACATTCCTGATCGAGGGTGGTGTATCTCATCGATGAACATGTCATCGTTCGGTGAAACTGCCAATTTGAAGCAAAGCTTGTGTAAGGCTCACTTAGCTTAAGAAAACAACGTTTATCTCTTACTCAATGATTGGAAGGTGGAAAGTTTTTTGGTTGCCTCACCTAGTTGATCGACCAGAATGAGATGATGAGCCACTGAAGGAACAAAGGGAAAATATAGATTACGTTGGCATATGACAATCTCTTCGGTCAGGCAGGCTTTTCCCTCTTCCTTCAGTTCGGCCATCCAAGTCATCAGGGGATATTTACACAATTCAAGATACTTGTACAGATGTTACAGAGTGTGCGTCTTGAAAAACCTTAATGTTAAATTAAAACACTTCACACATCTGTGTTATTCTGCACTTTCAAATTCATTTAAACAACGCTCCACACAATGGTCTCTCCCTGTACAACTTCATATTAATGCTGTTCATTTCCACGACAGACATCTCCTTTTCTCAGTGCATTAATCTTAACCACCAAGTCATTCTTACCTTCCTCAATACACCCAAAACCGTACTTTCTACTCTACACAGTGTATGTACATAACTTTTTCAGAACATTAAACCCCCCCCCTGAGTTAAAAAAAACAGCACCAGCCATGTACTTTGACTTCTTCAAAATCCTCCAAAAAAGTTTGGAGCACTCTAGATGATCTTGGAGGGTTGGGATTCAATAGTACATAGCGAAGATCCCAACTCTCCCAGGTGCTTCAGAATTTATTAGGTGGTTTATGGGATCTTTTGAAGGTTGAAGAGAAAGAATCCCATCACTACCGGGTTTGATGCCCCCTGACATTGATTTTTGTCCAATGGAAGATTTTTGAGGGACTGCAGAAGAAAACTTGGCAGTTACTTAATAAACTCACGCTAGACCTGTTGTTGCAAGAGCAAGTCATCAAAGCCACAGGAAAATTCCAACAACGAATCTTACCTGGCATGCTTTGTTTCATCCTTCTTACAGCAACAGAACACATGAATGAATCAAAACCAGGACTGTGAATGTAAGATTGGCACAGCAATGTTGTTTGCTTGAAATCACAAATCAGAGGTTCAAGAGGAGACACTCCTTACTTATCAATCCATCCTGGTCTCCGGTCTCTGTCAAAGCCTCTGCCATACCGATCGTCTCTCCCTCTGGCTGGGCCACGAGCATGCTCAATGATCACCCTATTGAAGACAAACATTATTTCAGCGTCTCTTCAGACAACAAAGGAATTACAGAGAGTAGTAGACGCACACTTCCAAAGCTGACCCAGGCATTCTTTGTCACTTTGTCCAGACAGCAGCAGGCTCTACCGTAACTTCCTTCCTGTTGACTTATCTTAACCCTAACTTTGTCAGACACAGCTAAGTGCAAGGGGTGTACAATTGACTTTCGTTCTTACGAAATCTGCGGGACCACACAGAAACATTCGTTGTATCCGAAATCTGTTTTAGGTGGAATGCAGTGTAATGGCTTCAGTGCATTGTTGTACAATGCATATGATGCACATGTACGCATGTACGTGCATATAAGCATGCCAAACAATGGCTACAATGCGCTGTTTGACATGCACAAGGGTTTATCCACTACGAACACAGGGCGAGGGTTCCCCTCATTTTCTGTTTTCTCAGAATGACGCAATTTACATTCAGCATGTTCAGAATTCCCATAATCAGAAAAAAGCCCTTTTATGCTTGTTATAGCTGCGCTCTGAAGACAAATGACACTGCCTTCGATTTGGATGATCCATATTTATTTGAACATATACAATCGAGAAAACATGTTTTCCTTTAATGGTGCTCTTTAAATAATGTATTGTTGTAACAGAATAAGATCACAATGAACGTGATTTTTAAGTTCATAAATCTGGCTTTAAAAAAACTTTTACCAGCTAATGACCATCAGGATGGCCTTTAGTTCAATGCTGGCTTCATATTTACGTGTTTAACATTCTTGTGAAAACCCTGAGTGCAAGAATATAATGGTTTGTTTTGCACAAAGAGAGGAAATAAACCAATTTTCACTGCTCAAAAAAAAGGCTACTGCATATTTGATTACATAAAATCACTGACTCACAAAATAATCCATCAAACGTCTTGTTTCCATCACAAAAGCTCAATGGCATTCCAGTGTATGACCCTGAACAATCAGCAAAAACCAAGTCGAGGAAGGAAACACATGTGCCCTTATGCCTTCTTTGGCAATGGTTCGGCCCGGCGCGGACCAGCGTGATGAACTGTGCACGTGTTTTCACCAGCGCGATTCGCAAACGCTCGTTATAAATGGGTTGTCAAAAATGGTTTTTCAGGCAACGGACTCACGAAAACCATTTGTTGTTACAGGAATTTCGGGCAATGCGATTTCGCTGAAACAGATTTTGTCCCCATAGAACTGTACACGTTTTCACCGTGACCACAGACTTGTGTGTTACAACCGGCATTATGGCAGATTTCGTAATAACGAGAGTCAACTGTATGTGTCTGTGGGGACTTTGCTGCACTGGGCAATCGACATCAGCCAAACACTGCCTTTGAGACAACAGGAGCTGGTCCCATGGAACGATACTGCTGTTAGATTTCGTAGTGGCTGAGAGGCTGTTTGGCCACAGGATATTTGATCTTGAGCATCAAGTGCAATTTCTAGCCAGGGCTTGGATCAATGGAAGTCATGTCAGAGAAATAGAGCACGACATTGAAGGCACAATAGTTTCAAGTGCTTACCAATGGTATTATTTGTGGCCAAAAATCCCACCTTTCAAAAAAGCAAGATTAACTACAAACGTCTGATACACATGTTGGACTCCACAGACTTTGTGCGTGCACAAAACAAATGGAAGCTTTGGACAGATATGCCCGGTTGGTGTTTACGCATCCTCTGGCGCAAAGTGGTGGTGACCCAACATAAGTGATGGAAAGCTAGATTTCTTACTTGTCACCACAGAGTTCCTTCCCATTCAGGTAGTACACGGCATCTTCAGCATCCCTGTTGTCATCGAATTCCTATTTTGTTTAAATTAGCAAAGACAATTGATATTTCTCAGTGTCATCTCTCCAACGTGTTAACCTCAAGGAATTGTTGAAGACTTCCACATTTTGCTACAAGCTTAGATGGCCTAAGACTAGTTCTGAATTAATTCTGGGATGAACATTGACAAGTTAGCACATTTACTGCAAGTGAACAAATATGCACTGACCACTACATTTATAAATATTAAAAGGCCTCAAACACTACTGCTGGATTTGTACCTCTACATTCCATCTTTATAGTGGCTGGTGATTTTCTTTAGACTTACCACAAAACCAAAGCCATTCTTCAGGTTGATTTCTCTGATGTGACCATAACCTCTGAAGAAACGTTCCACATCCCTTTCCCTTGCACTATAGCTCAGGCGGCCAATGTACACCCGACTCATTTTTACTAGAACAGAAAAAGGAAGTCTCAAATAGAACTCTGTGTCACTGCCCATGCACTATCCATTGGCCTTCAAGGCATCACTGTACTTTTGTTGCCCCTTGGTGGAAAATGCTTTGCTGGAAGTAACAAAATTAAGATCTTCCTTTCGGGTCAGTTTTCAAATTCAATGAAAACAGTTGAATGTTCTGTCACGACACAAGCACAATGTTACACTAAGCAGCCCAGCTACAAGCGAATAAACATGCTGTAACTGACTTTGAAGGCTTATTAACCTAACCCCCTAGGCTCCTGCACTAGAAAGCACACTGAAGCTCAAAAAATCCAACAGGTGCATGTACTTGTCTATGTACTTGTACATGAAGGTCACTGTACCAAACCTGATAAAACTCCTAACAGAATGAGCCCGTTGGAGTTTGAGTGATATGGTATGGATGGGTCTATGCAGTATAGGATGACTTGCACTGAACAGTACCAAACCTGACAAAATCAAGCATAGTCCAACAATTGGTACAGCAAGCCAGACACTGCACATGATGACCCGTATGTGTCCCAACTCACACAGAATCCAACACCATCTCCCTGAGCCTTTTGTCCCAAGTCTCACAAAATTCAACAGGTTCATCAAGTACGGTACCAAACCTGCCAAAACCTCACAAGACCCGCTGTTTTGAGTATGGCAGGTTTGGAACAGTTAGGGTTAAACATACAGAAGAGGTAAATGTCCGTCTCCTGTTCACCCTAGACTCTCTACCTTGAAACTTAATAGCACGACTTGTCCATGCTTTGCTGTAGAAACACTACAACAGTACAGGACAGCGGAAAACTCTACCATGTCGAGACATTTAAACTGCTGCCAAAGTTTTGGAAGAGCCCATTGGTACATGTAGTATCTTGTCGCTCAATCCGTGTAATACATATGTCTTGACATGGAACAGCCGTCGAGACGATGAAGGGGGTCAAGTGACATAATGTTCAAGGACCTCATTTCAAAGATGGCGACTGTGAGAGCGAGCCCGTTAGATTGAATGGATAAAGGCAAAAAGACTGGAAAATACCTGAATAACATGAGTGAAAGCATTCAATAAATGGTTTTTAGAAAGCGGAAAGGTCAAGATTCATGTTCGTATGCAAAAGAAATTGCGCTATCGTTGATAAGTGGGTGCGCCGAAATGTTCAATACGCCGACAAGAAATTGCGTATACGGATGTGTGGCTAAGGATGGATCGGGAGTGAGAGTCTGTGCCAAACTAGTGTAGTGGGGCTAGGTAGATGACCGCACAGCTCCATAACAGTAACTGACTGGAATGGAAAACTTCCTGGGATGTCCGCACAAGACTTAAAATGGGAAAAGTAACCATCGTTTCGGTAAGTCTGCCTGAAAAAAATTCCAGCACAAACATGGCTTTGATTTAATTTTTCGAAATAGGGGCCGCCATCTTTCTTTTCTGTGCCGTCCACGCAAAAAACAAGATGGCGGCCGGTCGGGCTAGATCGCGACCAGGCCCGTAGGCCTGACTTTATCGCTCAAATTACCACATTAAAGTAACATTTTAGATAAATGTGATACACTGAATATGATTTACATGAGTCTAATAAATATTTTAGATGTAAAATGTTTGCATAAATAACTTGTTGACGATTTGCCGCTCGTTGACGGGTACCACTAAGTTAACGCGAAATTGTATTCTTAAAAAATACAGCGTGAAGGACTAGGCCTACACATCAGCGTGTACATCATACAATCGGATTTAGCGGGTCTAAATCAATACTGGTATTGACTTTTGCCAAATAAAAAGTAATCATCCAAAATTGGGATTCACAGATACTTGCAGAGATAACGATGGGAATGCTTTACCAGTAGTACTCTTGGTAGAAAAATGGGAAAATAGAACGAGTTGTTGGTCCAGCGTCCCCCAGCGCCTTGCGTCGTATTTTAATGGCGTAGGGTGGTGTTTCGCATGCGCAGACCTCAAAGCCGTCGGGTTTCTTCAATTTTACAAAGGGGGCTTTTTCTACGGTAGCTTCAATCCGCCAATCCATCAGGACAGTCACCAATGGCAGTCACGACAGTTATACCTCAGCTTTATATGGTAGCTGCGATGGCATGATTGTAATACAAACCTTCAAAATGTACCCATGTGTCTCAGTTATCCATGTTCAATTTGGGTTCCATTACTGCGTTTTCCCTGTTTTTTAATACTAGGGCCTAATGGAATTTTCATGTGATGTCATCCCAGGAAGCTCAGCGTTACTTTAGTTTGTACAAAAAGTCCTGCTGTCCTTTAGTTATTCATTGTCGTATAAGTACATCTGTAAGTAAGCAATCAACCCTTTCTGAGAGATATTTACAGTGAAAAAATTCTGAATTTAAAAATTTAACGGAAAATCCTTTTGGTTGCACTACACCAGATACGCATCCATGGAAAACCGAGCAAAATCAGACCGAAAATAGCGCCGCCTGTTGACTCTCATGAAGAGGTTGGCCTCTCTGTTTTCACTGGAAATTCAAGATTATGGCCAGAAGATCACTTTTCGTTTCAATTTCATGGGGGTTAGCAACGAAAAAAAATTTTATTCGCCTTCGAACGAAGATACCCCCAAATAGAAGTAAAATTAAGCGCCAATTTCTGAATATAGCCGCCCGCCTCTACCCAAAATAGGCCCGCAATTTGGGGCTTTTTGTGAAAGAAATACCCCGAACTGGAAACTATCACTAGTCCTAAATTCGGGATTGAAAGAAACATTTCTATGAAGCCTCCTGATTATCTTATTGTAAAAATCCCGTGGGATAACAAAATATTGATGAGCTCGCGCGCAGAAATGCAACGATTTGGTGGAATGCTCCCCTATGCAGTTAGAAAAATGAGCTTATGTACGCAAACGTGAACACAAACGCGACATATTTTTATCGCGTACTGGCGCGTATTCTCGCGGTCGGGATGACGTCACTGATTCTTGATTCTTCTCTCTGACTGGTCAGTGCGCCATCAAGAGTTTGCAACGCGTTGGCCAATCACAATGCGCGAAATTTCTCGACCCAATGCAGGTTTGGAAAGGGTCCACAATTTCGCGCGTTATGATTGGCCAACGCGTTACAAACTCTTGGTGGCGCACTATCGTGAATCGCCTGTATTGATGTATATTCCATAATATTTCACCCTCAAAACTCAAAAGAGCCAAAAAATTAATAGTGTTGCTGTCTGCGGGGAAAATCTGAATTATTGATTAAACTCTTAACCTTTACATCAAATGTGCCCGAAATTTCACTATTTATGCGCTATGAATATCCCCCACACTAGACCGAAGAGGCTTCAGTTATAAATATCACGTTGCATCAAAAAAGGAGGAAAATATGCAAATCCCTGTATAAAGTGAATGGAGAGTTGCCCCTTTGCCCAGACGTGAGTGCAATAAATAGAAGAACCTCCGACCGCGAGAATGTGTCAAATGCCCGCTTGAAAATTTGGATGCGCTTCCTGCACAAAATGTGCATTCAAATGAGCACTCGAGTAAAAGCCCAAATGATAAATAACACCTGGTAAATCTTTCCAACTAGGTGTAGGTGGTCATCATTAAACCAGGCATGAAAAAATCACAGTTGCATAAATTTTGCTCCATACATAAACACGCATCAGGGAATGCTCATCGTATAATTTTAAACCATCCGAAAATGTAGCAGTTTCTTACATTCTGACCCAACGTGAACTTCCTATATTTCACGTACTGGACGTCCGTGCGATATCCCCGTACTTGAGAGACACTTTTAATATGCGCAGGAGGCGATGACGTCCGCAAAAGTCCACACTCGCGTTCACATTCATGTAAAACGTGCAACTAAGCCTTTCTTACGTCTCCCGCAGACTAAGGCCGTTTTCCAATACTCGACTTGGGCTCCGTCGCAGGCTTCAACTGTTTTTTTTTTACTTCCTCACTTTGAGATTGTAAGCGCAATAGTAAGTCTGATAGTGCCATAAAACATCAAATAAGATGTAAAAGAGACAAACATTATAGTATTTCAATTTAAGTTACACGTTTCAGGCCCACAGTCGGGGATTGGTTTCCTACACAAAGCCTGAGACGGAGACAAAGTTGATTGTTGTAAAACGGTCATAAACTCGAACTGTGTGTAAAAAAAGAAAAATCAATCCAAAACAAACAAACAAACAAACAAACAAACAAAAAACAAACAAACAGAGGTGGACATTGCAGTAATAGAGTACATTTAAATGTGGCTAATGAAGCACGGCGGAAGAATTCCAGTTGTCAATGATTATGTTTACGTTACTTGAGCAGATTTTTTCATACACATGTAAATGATGCACTGTGGTTAGTTGAATAGGCATTTCAGGAGCGGCCGGACAGGAGCAGATTTGTAATGAATAGTGGTGTAATGGAGTTTACACTTTTACGACTGATTCGAGTCCAGTCACAATTCGTAACAACTTGATTCAAATTACTGGTAAATAACTAAACTATAGGGTCGTAAAATACGGTGACTCTGACTCCGCGTTCAGAACAAGACCCCAGAGTTGTAGACTCGAGTCCAGCATAATGCTAGCATTACAATGATAAAACACTAGTATATGGAAACATGCAAATGGTGTAACGTTTGCTCTTACGAGACCAAAGATACCGATTCTGTTTTTGCTTGTGCATGTATTTATTCAAACAAGATTCGGCAATGTCAAAAAGTCAAATTCGTTGAAGGATTTATTCAAATAAAGTCCCAAGGCATTTTCTCGGCATGTCAAGTTACCCCAAATCTTTCCAAGTCGAATCTGAATTTCAAAAAATGCTGCTTGATGCGTCTCAGCAATTCGTTAACAACATTGATTAGTAAGAGGTAGGCCTATATGGGAGACATGGACCGTTGTTAGACACAATATTTAACTTAACACGCATAATTCTGATATGCCACTTTGTGTTTTAAAATTGTGTGGGTCAAAGCCTTTTTTCATTTTCTGTGTGTTTTTTTCTAACTTTGGGCTGAGGGACAGGTGGAGTTGACTGTTGCAGCGATTTTGCCACATCATGCCTGGTCATCCGAAGCATTGTAATATATCGCCAAGGAATCGGACATAGATATAAGCATGTTTAGGGAGAATTCTTCAGCAGAAAACCTGAGAATTAGTTTTCCCCTCATCTAAAAGTACGTGCATTGACGTTATGGTTATGGCGGCATCAGCCCCGTCCTCTTTTAAATAACTAGCCATCCACCTTTTGTTCATCATTTTCATGAGCGAATAAACTTTCCACTGGGGAGGGGCCAGTTAAAGGGCGTGTACTGTTTTAGAAAATAAATTGTAACATTGTTTATGATATTGGTTTTCCCTCTTTTCGGTTAATGCCTTCTGTGAGAGGAAGAATGTTCAGAAAAAACTTCTCTAGCTGTTCCGTCTTTTATGGGCATTTTGCTGTTTCAGTGGATTGTTCTATGAATTTTCTTTAATTTGTTGAGTCTGACGTAACCAGCTGTTACTGTATGTTATGAAAACTGTTTTGCTCCTGTACGTAATTAGATGTATTTTAGTAACTTTCATTCATAAAATTCTCTGTTAATCTTTTTATTAATCAAATTATTAGTTTGGAAAGCCCCCGGTACGTTTACATTCTCTTAACCGTTTTAATCTTGTATATAATAAGATGTAATTTAAATTATAGTTGTTTCATTTAACTTCAACTTTAACTCCTAACTTTTTAGATTTAAGAAAAGGATTAAACTATTTTGTGTTTTAATGTTTGTTGGGTTGTTTGTTTGTTTGTTTGTTTGTTTGTTTTTCCGATTAGTTTGGAAAGCCCATTGACAGGGATCCTTTCCTTTGGGGCAATCCTTGTGGAGCTGATTAGATATTTAAATTTGTTAATTTTTGCCAAAATCGTATGTTTTTCTGTTTGAACTGATTCTACCTGTATATCTCTAGGCATAAAATAAATAAATAAAAATTAAATGAAACGATGGAAGAGGGATTGTTTACCCTCGAGATATGTAGGTTGGAATAATGCTTTTTTACGGACACCGTAGGTAAGCCCATTGGACTCGTGCGTGCGTACAGAGAAAAAGCATGGTTCATTTGGCCGCATGGCGATGGACCCCCCGCGAAGCGGGAGGGCAGTCATGCCCTCTGTGCTTCGTGGCGGCTGCTGTTCCATGAAATCTAGCCAATGCCGCAGCTTGGCTAAACCTGCCTGTATTTCGCCATCTTGCTGTGTTCATCGTGCTTGGCTCAGTATCCAACACAGGCAGCATTCGAGGCGCAATTCTCCCGACTGAGGGTGGGTATTTGGGCCAGGATTTGGAGGTTTTTGTGCCCCTTAGCTTACTTGTACACGAGATGATGGGTGCACGTTTACGTTTTTGTTGGGCTTGATTCGGACCCGGGTAGATGGACCTATGTAAAAAGTTTCATGTCATTTGTCACGTTCGTCGCACATTGATTTCCCGGCAGGGTTTTTGTCGTCCATGGTTGGCCTGGCCGGGGAGAGTCGAAACCGAACAATAAGAGTGATGTGTGCGTTGAACCTGCACTCTTGCAATTGTTGCTTGTGAAGTGTATGGTTCGGCTGTGACATACTACTGTCAGTGAACCAACTGCGCCTACAATTTATTTTCAAATCTTGGCCTGAGTTGCAAGTGCAAATGTTGAACTGTTAAAGGGCAGACCAGCTGTACCATGGAGCTATTAAAAAGGCTTTTTAGCATGTTGTGTTTTCTTAATCAACAGTTTTACTGTGGGATTAGTAAATTACAGTGATGGTCAGTTCCTAAACTAATGCAGTGAGGCTAGGCTGACTTCAATGCCATGAATTCAACAGGTCATTGAGCCTTAAGTTCTATTAAGTTAGCTTACTTCATGGAAAGTTGGGCTGCAGACTGGCAGATAAACACATGTAACTAGATGGGGGTATCTCAGAATTGAAGAGCACGTAGGATGTCTTCTTCCGTCTAGCTTTGGAAACCTCCACACTTCAGATTTTCATGAGGAGTTTTTAATACTTAGGGTTGAACTAATCATATTGGTCAGCTTAGTTAGGGACACATTGGTCAGCTTTGTACACTGGTCACTGCATGTATGTAATTTAGTTTGAGGGTGGTTTGTTAGTTTTTGTGGTGTTAGCAACATGTTGTTTTGGAAGTTGATAAACTTGACCTCAAAGCAAAGTCAAATACATGTAGTTTGTCAACTTCCATTTCCAAGACATGTTGAAGTGGTTTACCCATACATCCTCCATATATTTTGCATAACAATTTCAGACTTCATTTGAAATGTTCATCAGCGTGTGTTTGTATCACCACCTTCTCCTGTGTAGTCTGGGTGATGCTTGTGCATGCTTGTGTCACCTGGGAAACAGTTCCACAGTAGCTTCATTAAGTCCATTAACCCTAACCTTCCCTAACCACACAGAATTGAACACCAGTAAAGTGTGTGAATTTGTGGCACTGGGTACTTTACCCCTAAACTGCTTGTGCTTTAACATGGGTTCAGGCATACCCAAAATAAACAGAATCCAACAGTTTTTGTGCACAGTTTACCATATGGTGTTGGGATTTGTGTAAATGGGTATGGTTCCAGGTAAATCACTCTGGGGAGTCAGGGTTAACTATCTGTTTTCAGCTGACTATTCTTGCTTTCAGTAGTCGTGCATGGGAGGATCCTTGCGCAGGTCAAGTACGAATTTAAAGTTAAATGTTGTCTGGTATACTATAGCAACAGTTGACTATTTTGCTTCACTGCAATGAATGTTACAAGACATATACAGTAGCAAAAGTGATGAACCAAACTGTCTCGAAAGGTACTGCTGTGTACATGCAGTTTAATCGCACAGAAAGTTAAACTTGCACAATTTTAAAACAATTATGCAATTTAAAATTTTGGAATTATTTGTAGACTTGAAGAAACTAACTGGACTGCATGGCTTGCACTGGTATTGATACTTCAAGACCAGTGTCACTATTACTGGCTAAGTCCTCTGGTTTAGTGGGTTTTTCCTTTTGGAACCCTGCAGAAGGTGGTCAAGCACTACAGCGAATAGTTGCTCAGCAAACGGGCAAAAGTTAGTTACCAGCCAATATGTCAATGATCTGTTTGCTGTGATTGGTTCCCTGACATGAGTTGGCTAAGCAGTATTTTCTGCTTATTAAGCTGTGTCCGAATGACTTGACTGCTGCTTTCAATGACGCACGAGTCAGTAGTTGTGGCTGCAGCCGCTTCCCATTGAGTTGTGTGTGATTTCAAGCAACAGCCAAGTCAACCCAAGTGGTATTTGATGAAACAGGCCCCAGGTACATGAAAGGGCAAAAAGCAATACTGTTGACTTTTTCACATCCTCTTTCCATCCAGTGGACAATGCGGCCGGACCGTTGTCGTTATGAGTGAGGGGAGCAAAGGTGTCAGCAGTGACGCTGTGCTACCCGAAGGGCCAGTCGGAGGGGTCCCACAAGCTAAGCCACTCCATATCCAGAGACTAGAGAAGGCCGTCTGCCTTGAGCCCTACTTGGCTTACGTTGAGAAAATCCTCACAGCCTCCACACCGTAAGTAATCCTGTCCACGTTGTGGCCAATCCGTATCAAATCACCCAGTGAGTTCAACTCCCCTTCAGTTTCAGTTTGGTTTGCATTTGGGTTTTATGGGGTGTGTGATTGTTGGTGAAAAGACTTAAACTTCAGCGTTTAGCCCAATGAAAAATTTTTGGTGTCATGGTCTGCCTCTGTCTGTAGTCTCAGCTAAAATGGGCATAGTCATCCATTTTCAACTGGCTTTATCGTCCTAAGCCATTGGCCAAAATTCTTTTTTTTTGGAAAGGAAATGTATTAAATCTGGACTTGTCACTAGTTTGCTCGTCAGAGCAATTTGGAATAAGATAACCACTTGACCATTTACTTTGACCTTGAATTGGATTTTGAATATTGTATGCCAACATGTTTTCTACAAAATGTTCAAAAACTAAGATGTAATATGTTTGGGATAAACTTGGATAATGCGAATACTGTCGTCCAGTGGCACTAAAACTTGTAAATTCAGCTTTTTTTCAGCCAGATTTCCCCCCCCCACACACCCACCAATCACAAGCAACACAGGAAAGGTGGGATGTAAATTTCCAAGAAGATTTCGGTAATTTGACATGGAATGACCCTTCTAATGGATTTTCTCGAGCAGTTTAAATTGCTTAGCAAAACCATTCTGTTTGGAAACCAGATATTTTTTGTCCACTTTATTCCTTGAGAAGTACTGAAAAGTCCATTGGAGTAGCTATACAATTGTGTGGATGGTTTTCCACTCTTGAGGCCCCAGCCCATTGTTGGAGGAGTTGTTTTCCGTACTCTGTATTTCTGAAATTTTGAGACTCTCAAAACGGAAGCGCAGTGCAACACCAAGAATATAAATCAAAGAGTGGAAATATACACACTCCATTTCACTTATTGGATCAAGGATTTTCCTTTGTATGAGACTGCATCCATTAATTGAAGCTAGTGTCACTGGCCTCATTTGTGTCCCGGTTTATAAAGTTGTGTTCATTTACAGTTGGTCGCTGTATGTTATCAGTGTACTAGCAACAACTCCACTAATGAGTGCATGCTTAATCTGGGCTTGAATTTCAGAGCTGTATATGCCAACTGTTTCCCAAAGAAATTGGACTAGAAAAATTGGTTTTTACCCTGTGAGGATATGAGGAAAAGCAATGAAAGAAGCAGTTTTGCTTTTGAAATTGAAAATAGGTGTTTATTTGAAAAGACTGTCAATTTCAGCTGGAGTGTTTTTGATGGCTGTTTTTGCAAATGTGAAAGAAAAATTGCAGTAAAGGTAAGCTTTAGTTTGTAACATATGGAACAGTTTTATGCTGTTCGTGATTTGTATATCAGAATCATAAAACACCAAGCTAGACCACTGGTCTGTTTTGGTCATAGGAAGCACATGACTTGATTATTTAAATTCACTGGACTTGATCAGATTTCCAGTGAGAAGTTAAAGTCCTTTGCACTGACCAAAGACGTGGTGTCTTGTAATGACATGTTTCAGAGAGCACGGTGAAGAGGAACTTTACAAGGAAGAGGTTGGTCGTGATGCTGTCCCACCTGACGACGAAGCCCTCAAAGAAGACGACAACCGAGACAAAGACGTCAAAACTGTCCACGGTCTGATTACTTCCAGAGCAGGTCAGTGAACACACCTTTGTGCTGAGGGAACTTCCAACATCCCAAATGTTAGTTGCCATGGGTAGGCCACTTCTTGGTCAGCGTTTAACCATCATCTGCTACAGTTTTCCAGATATGAAAATGAGTGCCTAAATCGTCCAGTTTATCCCAACTTTTGCCCAGGGTCTTTGCGCACCGTTTGGAATAAAAGAGATTAAAAAGCAGCTATTTGGATCAAAAGATGGAGAAAAGTTTAACATGCTGGCTTGGCTTCAGTAAGTCCAATAAAACTAGCTCACATGGCAGAGCAATGAACCACTTGACCAATTTTTCTAACATACATTTCAAGGATTGAATACCCAGGCCGACCTTTGCATGGTTGGCTACAATGTCATAGGCTGGTCATTTTAAACAAATGCACTGTCCCCACGGCACCCCACTGCTTAGCAAAAATTGAACTGTCGATTTGGAGGAGCATGAAGCATTAAACTGCTTCTCATGGTTCAATCCAGTTGGTGAGATGAACCTTTCAGACCCAGTTCATATATTCAGGATGTAGGAACTCCGTTGCTCCCATCAAAGTGTAGTTGCACCCTCATCCAAGTTTTTTCCGTGAGGTGATAGCAGTTTGGTGCTGCTATTTGAAACCCTTGCTGTTCAGTAGATGCATTTACTTTTTTGAATTGTGGCTTTGACAGATGCTTTACCCTTAGTGTCCTCTCCCTAAACCTCAAAGCACATGAGTCTCAGCAGTGGTGCACTTGGTTATTCTTTTGTCAAATACCCTGTCAACCTCATTCCCACCATAACGCTCTCTGTAGAGGTGATGGGGGACTGAACTGAAGTGTTTTTTTCCTTCGCAGAGAGGAAAGCAGACCGAAGGCGTTTGTACAATCTGTCTAAGGTGAAGAAGAGCAGACGCTGGTTGAAAGTGAGTCAGAGTAGATCTCTAAGAAACTCAGTCGTGCCCATCCAAGCCCGTTCCACACCTGTTCTGCTCACCAGCTTTCATTAGTTCAGTTTCATGGAGTCGTTAAAGCACACACCAACTTGCTGAAGTTCAGGAAGTCCCATTATGAAAAAAGTGCATGCCAGCCAGAAGGTCATGAGATTCATAACATTTATCTTGAATGGCACGGAGAGGAACACACAGGCAAGTTTAGGCCAATTCATTGGGAGTTTTATGATGTGGTCATCTCCATTAGGTTTCCCAACGCGTACTTGCATTTTACTTACAAAAAAAAATGACAACTTTGTTTTTATCAGACCGTGTTAGATGCTTGAAAGCAGTCAGCTGCTTTGTCATTTCAGGGATGAGAATATCCACTGAGCCAGGTTCAGAGATTTTAGAGTCATTCCGTTTTTTTCTGTAACGGAACTAGATTGGTTGGTCTTGCAGCACATCCTGCAACTTTTTCTTATACATGTAAATACACCTTTCGGTTCTAAATGTAAATGCCCGTTTCTTGTGTGAGCACTTGAATTTTGTAAACAGATTCTTCTCGTCCAGTAACATAATGCAAGCTGTTAGCTCTGCAGCGTGGCAGGTTTTTTTTTCTTACCTGAAATTCAACCCCCTGCTTTATACTGATCAATTGCCACCTTACTTTTGATGACTGCCCGCTTCTAGAACATCCTCCTTAGCGACTCGTCCGATTCCTCAGCTGTGGAAGAGGAGGACGAGGACAAGCCGTTGTCGCAGGAGGAGCTGAAGGAGATGATACAGCTCCACCGCTACAAACGCCAGTGCCAGAGCAAGTTCTACACAGAGGGGGAGGTGAGCCCACTTTGCCCACCCCTGGTCCGCTTGTCAACCCGAGCCACCAATTGCTGGCAATAACTGACAAGAGCTGTTTTGCAATGGAGGTTTAACCCTACTATACATGTAACTCCCTGGACCTTTTTGCCGGGATGCAACCATTTCTATAAAATCCACCTGCTGCGGCCACGTGAAAATTGGATACAACCTCAATTTATCCCAAATCGTCCATTGTTTTTTTGTGTGTGTTCACTGGAGAAGTGGCTACTATCCCAATCCTTCAAAATCCTCTAGCAGTTCTTTGCTTGTAAGTTGGGACAGTGAGAATGATATCCTGGAGCAGTGCGGATTGTAATCTGGGCCTAAATTGATGTAAGATCCACCCCAGGGCTTTGATGAAATGCATCATTTGAAATCACTATCAAGCTTTTGCCTTATGACCTCAATCCTTCAAATTCTTCCACTTATGCAAGGAAGATTTTGGAGGATTTGAGAAGGTTAGAGTTCTTAATTGTATCAATAATTATACTGCAAGAATACTACGATATAGCATCAGGGTTGAAAAGTTTATATTTCAGTTCTTGGCTGTTCATAAACTTGAACACAAAGAAAACAAAATGTGCAAAAGTTTTTTGTACCAAAATTTTATGAATAAGTTCTATAAATATGTTAGAAAACCATCAGACGGCTGAACTTGTGCTGCTATGGATCCTGTTTCCCTAGCCATGGTGAATCAAAGTTGTATCGTGTGCGTGAAGTTGTATCGTGTGCGTGATTTGCAATTTATCTTATTCATGATGTGAATGTTACTATATGGTACATCTGATTCACAAAGTTCACTCTGAAATGAAGGACTCAAAGCTACTTCCTTGCGCCAGTCCAATTTTAGGACATTTGGGTTTGGAGACAGATCTGTTAATATGAAATCATGATAGATCATCTGTTTGTACGTGCTATACATACCTCAAATACAAATTAACAGGCATCACTTTTTAACTGCAAGTACCCTTTGCCAAACAAGATTGCCACCTGGGATGGTTTTCTCACAATGAGATGTCCTCCTTGTTCTCTCCATCAACTATTTTGACTCACTCGCAAGCACTGCTTTCTCTCGGACATCTCCAGGAAGTTTGATCAAAAAGTGTCCGATTTCTTCTCCCTACTTCTCCCACCAGCTACAGCAGTATCAGTACTACAGCACCGGGCTCTTGTCCAGCTACGACAACTTCTTGGACCACAAGAAACTGGTCTTGGGTCCCAAGCAGAACAAGGAGAAGCAGATCAAGAAGGAGAAAGGTGAGTCATTTCATTTTTTGAACGAATATGCCAGCCGCCACACTGTAATTCCACTGCGTGATGACACAAATCTTAGAGGTTGCAATTAGACTCAAAAAAAGTGCAAATTTCTTGACCACCAGCCTGCCAAGCATCAAGATCACAAGACTTGTAGGGATGTGTGCTAGACTTCTTTTATCTGTACTTTTGATTTTGCCACCAATAAGAATTGATAGTCATACACTTCCCCAAAAAAGAGAGACCTAGTTTATTTTCAGTAATACTTACCCATACATGGGTCTTTTCTTTAGTCTGACCAAACATATCCGCTTTGATTCGGACAGACAAGGTGAATGGTCTGGTGTCCAGTTGTAATTTCATCCTCTGAGATGTATTATCACACACAAACATCCTAGCCCTGTCCAGTTCAGGATTTTTCTAAGACAAATATTGTACCAGCTTGCTTTTCGTTCAAGGTACATGTACAAGTGTGCCTCAGAATTTATTGGTAATAGGGAATGTTTGCCCTATGATTTGACTTCAGAGAACAGTTTGGGCATTACACCTGCAATGTGTAACTTATCTGCTGAAAATCGCTGTTTTTCTGTGTGTAGCCTCTTAATGAATGGGTAATTCCAGAAATTACGTAGTGTGACATTTCCGTGTCCCTGTTACATCTGATTTTGTTATTTCACATGGTAATATCACTGGAATTGATTTCAAATTATTACCATTTGTTTGGCGGGTAATTAGAAAAATGTGTCCTGAACTTACAAAATCATTTGTCAGATGTGACAGGGACATGAAAAAAAAAGACCCCTAATTTCTGGAATTACCTGAATATGAATAGCTTGAAATAAATTACAGTGGTTAATATTAAATCTCACTGTCCACTTGAACGACTGTGAATTTCTTGAAAAGGCTTTTTCCTGAATTTGACAGAGCGGGCCACAAACGGGGACCGAAGGTTTTGGAAGTCAATTTTTATTAGAGGTTTTTAAAGTTAAAACGGTTCATACTTCATGTGAAAGCAAATGCAAATGCGGATTTGTGACGTTAGGTCAGATAAGCGCAGTGCAAATGTTGAATACATTTGAAATTGAGAGAAATTTAGCTGCAAATATTTTATGATGTCACATTGGCTTCACTTTCACATTCACCTGTAGTATGGATCAGCTCAACAATATTAAATTGTGTATATTTTCCACGCGTAATGTTTTGTTGAAGCCTTGGCCCAGCACTTGTATTGGCCACACACATTACCTGTCTGCTTATTAGAAATCTTAACTACGGTTGTGCTAAGGTGTGTTATAATACTCGTAAATCAAACTGCCAATCTTTTCCCATTGTCCCAGTTTCACCTACACAAAGTGTTCCAATAATGCCAGAGGAACAGCCAGAAACAGGTATGTGGCCAATTCCCCCTCTGGTAAAATAAGGGCTGTGCTTGCACACAGGCCAAGGGTGGCCGGGCTCCAACCACTTTCTGCTCAATGCTAAAGCTATGACAGGCAAAAACAATGTGCTCTTTTATGTTGCCAATGGAAAAAGTAAACATGTGATATTGCATCACTGCGTTTCTGTGAGCTGTTTTATTTCTTTTTTTTTTTTGGCCGTTTTTTACATGGTTTACTGGCATTTGACTTTTGGTATGCGGATGCATGTTTGTTTTCATTGTATTTTGTGTGATTTCAATTTGCTTGGGAATGTCACTATGTGATTTGGTATGCTATGTACTGTAATCAATGGTGGCAGGTTGGTACAGGAAAGTGATATTTATATGTGTTTGTGTTAAGCTTTTTTTTTTTTTTTTTTTTTTTCCCCCTTATAATTTGACAAATTCAGATTAGTTGAACTGTAACTTGGAAAGCTGTAAATCCGGAACCATAATGTTGGGGCTTTTGTGTGTTCTGTTAGAATCTGGTGCTGCTGGGCTCAGGTGCCTGTATTTTCTTAGAGGCAGATAAGTGCAATATCGGACCAGAGGTCAAATCAAGACAACAGAATTACTTTGGCAGTGTCATCTCGCACAGAAACTTGCTTGAAGTACAAACTGGCCGTAACCACTTTGTGCCTGCGTATGCGTAAACCTCAAGGAGTATCGGCGACTGTTCCATGCAGCATGTTACAGTACAATGTACATTCTGGCAATTTCTGTACACAGTAGCAGGTGACATGAACACTTGTGCTTCACCAGTTCTGATTGGTTATCTATACACATAAACGCATACAGGGTCTGGCAAGTCGGTGGAGGTTGACTGGGTCTGGTACCCTGACTTAGCCACGTGCAATGGCTGGTTGTTTTAAAAGTAACTATAACTGTTGAGGCATTACCTCACAATGAAAAGAAGGTGGCATTGTGGTGAGGAGTGACTCAGGAAAGCCAACTGTTGAGATCTCCCACTTTGTCGGAGAAAATGGCAATTACATTTTGTTTTACTGTCCAGTAAAATAATACTCTACTTGTGGTTGGGTGGATGTGAAATAATACCACCCCATATATAGAGCTTACATGCACCTTTTGCCCGAAGCCCTGAATGGCATGGGTACTGTCCAATGGAAGAGAAAGCCTACGTCAGAAACCAGTATTCATAGAGAGCAGGGAAACAGCAGCATGAATGAGAGAGCCGATTGTCCAAAGGATTCAAGAAATGGCGGTCAGAACTTCGAAAAAGAAAACACATCAAAACTCTCGACTATGAATGGACCGTTGTGAAGCGTTTGTAGGAAGTCGTCGGTAAAGTAGACTAGTTGAACCTGTCCGAGGCAAAATGCTTTGCAGCACACTGTACCGTCAATCCCGCAAATTGACAAGATGTTGAAAGTTGAGCAGGTTTGCCGACCTTTTTTCCCAACTCGGGCATGTGTATTGTAACCAGCAGACTTGATTTACCAGCTCAGAGACATTGTGCACTCTGAGACCTCCACTGCCCACGCACAGATTACCAGCGGTCTACTGTGCGGGGCAGGAAAACAAGATGCTTCTTCAGTTACTGTCCCCCCCCACCCACCTCCCATCCGTATGAGTGTTCCAATAAATATTCTTAAAAGCTACCCTGTCCCCCGGTGAGCATGCTGCGTGATGTTGACATCTGAGGTGTAGACGCTACCTCTCGCCTGACTAATGGGCCTTGAGCTAGACCAAGAGAGAGGTGATTTTCCCAGCAACAGGGGCTTCTTTGGTAGGACGTTCACTTTGCTGGTTCATGAACGACTATGAAATACACACATTGCACGCACGTTGCTACCAACAAACTGAACGCTCCCAATGGCTCTTTTTCAACCGACGAGGGGGTGCTTCTGCTCAAGCCGGATACCCCTTACTCCTGGATGGGAGGGGGGTGACACAGTGTCTTGCCGGAGGACTCATGCTCTCACCCATCAGACCCGTGATTCTCAAACTGTACTCCAGGAAGAAAGACGAGATATTCCGAAGAGAAAATTAAAGGGAAACAGCCGGTTTTTAGTCACGTAAAATATCTGTGTGATGGCAGTCGAGTTCTCAGCAAAATCTTTAGAAGAAAACAATTACACCGTGGTTTTGGTCCAAGACGGCTTTCTGTTTTTGTCTTTTTTTTAACCACTGCAACAAGTAGCATGCTGTGGTGATATGTGGCATGGTTTTATATCAAAGTATAGTTTCCCAGTTTATTGACTTTGATGCATCTTTAAATGCCTGTTTGAGCACCGTGTTGATCATTACAATAAACAAGGCTAAAACCTTTGTTGTTCTCCACTATTTTCTCAATTTGATTATGCTTATTAATGACACTCTTGTTTGGACCCTGGATTGCCTTGTGCTATATTTTGCCCAAATAAATTCCCTCTTCATCTGATTGGTGGACTGTTGATCATGTGCCTTTGAATTATTCATCCCAATGCACCACACAGCCACACAGCAAAAAGAAGGGGTCCATACCATCGTTCAAAGAAAGTTCCATTTTAGTGGTCACACTGAATTTCTGAACTCGTTGATGAGGGGATTTATTCAGATTTTTATCAGACAGTGCAGGGATTTACTCCGAAATTGTATGGAGCAAATAATAAGGCTTTCACGTTGTTGAAGTGTAAGGAGTAATTTCAGTCAATGACAGATGGAATGTTCCATTCCATTCGGCTTCGTCTCGTGGCATGGAGCATTCCATCTATTATCCAGTGAAATTTTTTTCTCATGACTGTACTCATTAATATGCAGCATTTGAATGGTGGTGTGTTTCTGCCCACCATGATACATGTATCTTCATCCATCAGGGGCGGATGCAGGATTTTCCCAAAGGGGGGGGCATGATCCCCGATTTTCCAAAGGGGGGGGGTGCAAACAAAAGCAGCAAAAATGCCCGCGAGCACATATCGCAAAGCCTTCACAGCATGGGATCCAGGGCATTCTGGGATTCTAGGCACTCTGTGGTATAATTTCAGGCAATAGGACCCCTGCTTTTTCTTCTCCATCCTTCTTTTTCTTTCTTTCTTTCTTTCTTTCTGTTTTTTGGTGAAAAAAATGGGGGGTGCTTCCCCACACCCCCCTGGATCCACCCCTGTCCATAACTAGACATGATCAGAAAGTGGCCTCAAACAGCAGGCTTTACCCTATCGATTAAACTCCTCAGCCAGTAATGAAATACTCATCCAGCCAGTTTGGTCGCTTCTTGTGATGTTTTCTTCAGTTCTGAGCCAGTTGCAGAAGAAATAAATTATTTTGGTCTCCTTTTCTCACAGAGAAATTGAAAAAGGTGAACCCCAAACCCAAGAAGAAAGTGGAGGCCAAGGAGAAACCAGACATCCAGGTACGAAGGAATGGAATGCAGAGCGTGAAAGTATGGTCGGACATCGGACATTTTCCGAGCACTTATTGTGTTTGTCCGAACATAATCAAAGATGCTCGGACAATTTGTGTGACCAACATATCAATAACATAAAAATATTAAAACTTGTGTTGATATTTTAAAATTAAAATATCAACACAAAATATGGGACTATGGCGTCCGATTTATTATCAGTTTTGTCTTACAGTGATGTTAATTATGCCCAAGATATTCATCAGGGCTGATCGTTCATCACCGGCCCATGTCACCCAGCGCCACACATGTATGTAAACATTTTTCGCACAGACATGAAATCGCCCCATAATTCTATGGTGAAAACACGTGCACAAAGCTCTATGCATTAAACAAAGCTGCTCTGGTTCCCGCCACACCCATGCAGAAGAATGCTTGATAGAAATAAAGCAACCAGTACCAGTCTGTACTGTACATGTACATAAACACTCATCATTGTCCGTACACGTCACAAATGCAAAAGGCTGCAGGCCGGAAAGATATCGATGTTATGTTGCAAGAGGTTTTCTGCAAGTTAATTCACAGAACGTGGTCTCTTATTTATGTATGTATTTTCTGTGTTCATGAGTGTAATTTGAGGTTCTGCTCATGGCACAAGGTTTAGCACCCGCTGGTCTAGATGCATCATGCACGCTTACCACGTGATACACGGACATTGTTGGCCAGTTTGCCATCGTGATTGTCATCGTGATTGTGTGAATTGTTCATAATTTTCTTGTGAATTGCTGTATGAAGAAATTTTTACATAGATTAAGACAGGCGTTCATCACTACAAAATTGCTACTAAACAAAAAAGTTCTGACCCACCAACCCCATTTTTGAGAGGCATGCATACCACAACTATTTTTTTGGGCCTAATAAAAGACTGCATGTATGTAGTTGGCTTTAGTTAAATAACCATAATAATTGTGGATTCTGAAAAATCTTAGGCAAGTGTTGATCCAATTCGAGCAAGCAAATTTATGACGTGGCCTGCCCAATCGGGCAAACTAAACAGAAAAATCATTGCGGCCTGCGCTGAACAAGGATTGCTCAATGCGACTGTGTGTGCTGTTCTGGTAGGACCAGGAAAAAAAAGTTAATTTTTAACCCCTTATTCTGCACATTAAAACTGTACCTTTTATATAATATGGCAGATCAAAATCTGGTAATGGAAGAACAAACTTTTTGGTATAATTTCGCTCTCTGGAATGAGAGTGATGGGAAATGTTCAATTTATGTGGATCAGTTTTCATTCTGGCTGAATTTCATGAAAGAAAACCTTTGGAGATTTTTGAATCGCTCTGCCACAATTATGTACAGTTTTTCTGTCTAAATAAGTACATTTTAAGGTTTTGTTTCCAAAATGTGATATATCCATTTGAAAATTTTTTCCTAATGGTGCAATATTACAGCTAAAAAATAAGTACACTTATGGATGGCACTAAATGTCTTTTTTTAAATTTCAGTGGTATGTATAAAGTTATGTTTGTACAAACTTTGAAATTTTTAGGTGAGGGCAAGATTCTAATAGGTACCAATATGGCCTTCCTTGCATTTTGGAAATAAACTCTTCATATCTTTGTAAGGTTGAACACATTAGCTTGGACATGGTTATCTTGAGGAAATTGTTCACTTATTCCAACCTTTGCTTTGAAGGATATTTTCCTTACGATTTCTTCAATTGTCAAATTTTAATTAATTTTAACCCCCGAACCCCCTCCCCTATGCAAGAATGCAACCTTAGTCCTGCGAAATCCTCCAATTTTCTCCATGTAAACATTGGACGCAGCTTCAGTCCTCCAAAGTCCTCCATCATGTCTTGAATATGTTCCATGGAAGGGCGACCACTGCGTCCATGTTTTCCATTCAGCCTTTTCTCACCAAAACCCTAAACCACTCTGAGCATTTTCGTAGGGTTTAGGCAGGTCGGGGTTGAAGAACAGAATGAATGAACAGAATTGCAGCACCACCGACCGGTGACCGTTTCTTCTAAGGTCTGTATTTCCCCTCTTCATTTCCCCCTATCCCAGGTGCAGGCTACGCCGCCTGCTCTGGTCAGTGCCAGCACATCAGTGGCCCACTTCCAGGATGCCCTGAATCACAAGAAGCTGATGGCAATCAAGGACGTGGAAGCACGACGGCGTCGTGTCTGGCATGCCATCATCCGGAAGGACATCCCCAAGGTAAAGGGAAGAAGGGAAAAAAACCCTCATGGCTGAGGGCCACCCATTTGGGCGAAAGTCTCAATTCGTGTACATGTACATCAGTAATGGCAGTTTTCAGTTTTGTGTGAATATTACCTGAAGAAAGGTAAGCTTGTCATGCAAGGTGCTGGCTGCAAATACAAGAACGGGTGAAAATTGCAGAGATATATTTCTCGGGAATCGTAAAAGGTAATAGGTGGTAGGGAAACATGCTATTGCATTTTCAATAACATGAGGGGAAAAAATGCACAAGTCATCGGATAGGTGTTTTTTTCTCCCACTTTCCATTCCTTCGTCTGTTTTCCCCATCAGGCGCAGAAGCACCGGATGTCAGTGCACAACAACATTCTGACCAATGCCCGCAAGCTGGCCCAGGCCTGCCAGAAAGAGCAGCGGCGGCGGGCTATCGCCTCGCAACGTGTCTGCAAGGAGACACCGCACCGGGCCCGGCGCATGACACGGGAGATGACGGCCTACTGGCGCCACTACGACAAGGTGGAGAAGGAGCACCGCAAGAAGGCAGAGAAAGAAGCGCAGGAGCAGCGCCGGCTGGACGACGAAATGAGAGAGGTGGGTTCGGCACTGGTGGAGTGGGGACACTTGGTCAGAGACTTGGTCAGGCTGAAGGCTTGTTTTATACTTGGGGTGAACACTAACGCAAAACTCTGACATCAGGTGAAATATGCGTGCTGTGAATTTGCATAAGCTGAACACATTTCTACTCAATCATATTTAGCTGCAAATGTTTGGTGACATCAAATTCGCTTTACTTCTACGTTCGCCTGAAGCATGAACTGGCCTTAAAGAGTCTAAAAAATGCATAACTCAAAAAAGGGAAGGACCACTTTTTATTTTGTGTATACTTTTTTCCTATCATGTCTATGAGATATTTTACTGATGAAAATGTGCATTGGATGTTTTGAAACATTTTTCAATTTTTTTATTCCAGTGAGAACACCATCTAGACAAACAAAAAATGAAAGTACTAGATCCCACTCATTGCTTGGAAAAAATTACAAGTTGAGAAAAAAGTGGTCCTTAACTTTGAGTAGTATATTAAAAATCACCCATATTTTTCCCGAACTTGAAACACCACCTCACTGACGAAGAACAGACAGGTGTATTTGATAGCAGTATGAAGTACTCTTCTGAAGTATTCTTTTGATGGACATACTTTCCATAAACAGCCACAGCCAACCAATATAGCTTACACAGGCAAAAAATTCCCACTATTCAGAAACCACCACTCCTTGAGTTTGACCGAAAGGACAGCCTGGGTAATCTGTTTTGTTTGTAAATGCTGTCTGACCCACAGGCAAGGAGGCAACAGCGCAAGCTGAACTTTCTGATCACGCAGACGGAGCTTTACGCGCACTTTATGAGCCGCAAGCTGACCGGGGAGGGGGAGGAGCAGAAGGAACGCATCCTGAGTCGGCTGGAGGACCACCTCCCTAAGCGTCAGGTGGCCATCCAGGGTGGAGTACTGGTGGACGTCGAGGAAGATGACTACGGTAAGGTGACCCTCTCCTTCTGTCTTCCAAACATATAGGACCAATTTTGCAGAGTGGCTAAACTCAGAAATTGGCTAAGCACAGAAAATACTTGCTTGGCAACAAGCTGGTCACCAGCCCAAATATCATGCATTACATGTCTCATATGACTGGTTCTCTGCAGACTTTTTGTGGTTAGCGCAAAGATTTGCTCAGCAGTTTTTTCTCTCAAGCAGCCCAGTAAAATTGGATCCCCTGCATTTGTCATGGCACTGTGGAACCGCACCCTGTGCACTCATCAAGGTACGGGGCCCAAGCCCAGCACCACGAGGAGTGTACAGTAGAGGTGTTGACTGCATGCCCAACTGACTCCCAATAGACTTGTGTTTTACATGTACCTCGCGCATTTACAAGCACCTTGTCACACATTTGGCCATGTGAGCACCGAGTTCAGTCCAGGTCCTCTGGAGCAATCACACGATCGCACTTCATATTTGGATCCCAGTTGAATTTCAGTGTTGGCTCGAGTTAGAATTGCCTGCGTTAAGTAAAAAAAATCTGGAGGTTTGACACGTGTGTATCTCGAAGATGAACGTTACAAAGAATTTGTTGGACAACTTTGGGTGGGTATGGAATTATTGAAATTATTGGAACTATAGGCTTTGCCTCAGCCACTCTGACATTGGCTACAATTTTCCAGGCCTTGGTGTGCTGTACAAAAAAGAAGGTTTGCAGTCACTCAAAGGCATTGATCAAGTCATTGAGAGTACTTCAACAAGAAGTAAACTGTTTTTGTCGTTCCAAATTTTTAACGATCTGCTCCCTGTTGGAACAACAAGTAGGATGTTTTTGTTGAAGAGTGACACCCCTTTGGGGGGAAACACTGCGTATGCGCCACAAGGTCACGCCCGTTTGGCTGAGGGACACGCAACCAGCATCTGTTGGAATGCGCAGGCTTGGCATATGCACCGTGCATCAAATTGAAGATTTCCTTTGCACCCGTTTCTTCTTTGCCTATGAGGAGTGGCTTGCAGTCAGAGCAGAGTGAGGCCCTCAGTACCTTCAGTTCGCACACCTGTGCATTCTTTGAGCACTTTAGGGTGCCTCGGCCTACAATGCAGTGCCCTGAGTAGGATGTGAATGGGAAGAAACAGCAATTCTCTTGTTTGTTAACATGCAGATTGCGACTTCATGAAGCAGCAGGCTCTCTCCAATGTGTCCTTTGCCTACACCACCCACCAGGAGAAGCAGAGAGTGTTTGATGGAGACAGAACCATGCCAGACACAAGTGTCTCTCAGCAAGCATGTAAGGGCACTTGTCTAAGTTTCATCTTGTTTTTGTTGAAAGAATTTAACATGGACTGTGGTGCTTTCTTTGTTTTTGTCCCTGGGCACACATCTCAGAAAGCCATTAAAGCCCCCAAAACACATGAAATATTTAAAACTTAACAAAATTGACAAATATTTCAAGTTGTACTGCCAAATGTGTATTTGTAGTAATTTTAAATTCTTTTTGTTGAAAAAATTTGATATTAATAATTATCATAAAGAAAATCCTAGAGCTGTTTGATTCTTGAACCATAGCTCTGCACATAAACTGGTCTGGTAATAAATGTATGCTTTCAGTTTTTGCAGTATTTTGCTTTGATGTATTATTGCCACACTGCAGTTTAACCCTAACCTTCCCCAACCACACAGAATTAAACAGTAGTAATGTGTTTAATTCTGTGGGGATAGGTCTGGTAGGCCCAAAGCAGCTGGCTTTTGCATTGGGTTTGGCATACCTCAGAAAAACAAAGTCCAACAGCCTTTGTGCACAAAGTCCCATGTAGATGTTTAACTTTGTGTGAATGGGGAAGGTTAGGGCCAGCAACCCTTGGGGGTTAGGGTTAAGGGACAAACATAGAATTGCAAAGCACAGAGATATGTGGTTGACAGTAAGCTGGTTACGAGCCGAAACTTTATGAAAAGTAAATTGTTTCTAACTGGTACCCAACCACTTTTTGCTTAGCTTATCACTCCATATGGTGGTCATTTCTGCAAAGTGATTTTTATTGTATTAGGCAGTGATCAGATGGATTTGAGTGGTCATGTCCCATTTTCCTTACCTCCTCTCTTTCTTACCAAAAGTTGACAAGGACTTTAGTCTGAGTAACCCAGCCATGCTGCTGGAGTCAGAGCGTGCCCAGCCGGCAATGTTCAGAGGCCAGCTGAAGAGCTACCAGTTGAAGGGGATGAACTGGCTGGCTAACCTGTACGACTGCAGCATCAACGGGATCCTGGCCGACGAGATGGGGCTTGGCAAGACGGTGCAGAGCATCGGCTTCTTGGCACATCTGGCAGAGGTAGATGGGGGGTTTGGGGTTGCAGGATGGGGCTTGGGCGTGGGGTTCAGATAAGGTAGAGGAAAAGGCCAGTGCTAAGGGCTGAGGATGTCAGCGTCAACGGGATCCTGGCCTGATGAAATAGGGCTGGGCAAGACGGTTCAGAGCATGCGACTTTCAGCATGTCTGAGAGGGAGATAGGTGGGGTTGTGTTGCGGGTTGGGTTTCTTTTAGGAACGAGAGAAGGGAGGTTTCCATGACATTATACAGGTACCATGTGGCCAACGCATTCAAGCATGTTCGTCATGCGCACATAAAGGGAAGGTATGAATAATTTTGCAAATGCGTATTCTTGTCACGTCAGTTGCACTGTGCCAGTGGCATTTTGGTATTTGATCGGGACGTCCTCTCCCTTTTATCTTCAGCAAGGGAGTATGTGTGCACGGAGTCCCATAGAAATCGGGTTGAGTGAGAGAGTGGAAAGTTCTTACAAAATCAGCAGACTGCACCGTCATTTGCATCCAAGATCCAAGAAATTGTCACAGCAAGGCCCAGATTGGCATGACCTCAAGACTTCACCTCGCACATGTGAGGATTTGAGGACAGGCCAGGCTTCTCAAATTGTGCTGGTTATTTGTCACTTTGACAGTTCTGTCCCAGTATTCCATTTGGCCTAATTTGTCATGGTGCAGAGAATGCAGTGCCATTTTTTACATGTTGAAGCATTAAAATGAAGTTAATCTTTTCTCACCTGTTACATGGTACTTACCATTTGCCACCCTCATGTCTGAGTAAGATATCGAGGAGTTTCATAATACTCGGCTTCCGCTTCAAGCCGACTTTTTTAGGGTGTGAAGCTGTTGTTCATCAGGGAAGGGTTTGAGTATGGAGTGACACGTTTCATGGAAGCATTTTGGATAATTTTGGATTTGTTTCCTCCTTCTGTTGTCTTCAGAGTCAAGGTATCTGGGGTCCCTTTCTGATTGTTGCTCCAGCGTCGACTCTTCACAACTGGCAACAGGAGTGCGCTCGCTTTGTTCCAGGCTTCAAGGTAATTGTCCGAACATTTTGACCTGACCATGCATGCAACCTCAGCATCAGTACCTCTGACAGTGTGAAAGGTCCATCTACTTAGAGACAAATGTATATCTTCTTACTCCATTGATCCGTTGCTGAGGACTTTCTTGCCTCCCACTTGTCGCTCGGCAATTTTATGATGGAAATGAAGCTTCAGCATAATTATAATAATTCAGTTTGGGTTAAGATGTATTGCAGACTACGTGCACAAGCTTAATAATAAGTAACGGTGGCCAAGACAAATGCATCATCTGCAACTACGTAGTACATCATTAACTAATTGTCAAGGGGGAAGACGGCGATAATTGGACATGGTAACTCTGAAAACCACACCCATAAGAGGAAGGACAGAGATTCAAACCAAACATTACCAAGTATGTTCAAGTCCCAGCTAGAAATCAATCTTATTATATCCATGACACATCACATTTTTATTATGGATATGGTATCTGTTTTATTTTGTGTCAAATGGGTATCTCCAACTGTTCATTTTTTTCTGTTAAAACCCTAAATACTGAAGGGCATCTGGACCCCAGCTGCTAGTCTTTCGGTCACACAAGCTCTCCCTCGCTGTCTCACACAGTTTATTGGCTTTCAGTGATTTTCTGGAAATGACTTCGTTGGTCACTTACATCCCTGACTTAAGTTGTGCTAAAAGAAGCAAGGTACCAGATCAGTGCTTTTTTAATTTATCAGTGTCTCAACATCTTTATTCATCATCAGAAGGCCACAGTCATCACAAGACATTTGTAAAGTGTTCATCGTACACGTACGATTACGATCGCCAGATTTGGTGTTGAAACAAAATAATTCAATCACTACCCCCAGTTACACTACAAGGACAAATAAAGCATTCACACTGTACATGCAATAGCACAGTGGTACAGTGGTGCCATTGTGGAGTTTGAAGAAAAGAAAATGAACAAGCCACTTAAATCCATGCTTTTGTGTAAATCACTGAAAAGTCTGCCCATCACAGATATGGTGCACATTACATGTACATCAATTCCCAGATTGTGCACTGTACCAATATGCAATGATCCTAAATGTGTGCGGGTGGGGTGATGGCGCACACAGGCAAGGCAATTAACATTTCCAGCCAAGTTGTTCCTGCCCTTCCCCCTCCCTGGGTCAGCTACATGTATACTTTTCCGCCTACCCCACCTTCTGCGGTACACTTGATTCCCCTAATGGAAGTGGCTGGCCAGTTCATATGAACCTTGCACAGTGCACGTGTGGTGGCCGTTCACTTCCATCAGGTTATAGAGCACGCTGCTTCTTACAAAACATCTTTTCTGCTTGTATTTGATGAGTTCATTTTTGGACATTAATGCGTGTATTTCATTACTTTCAAACTTGTGCATGTACTAGGAGGTCATTACCAGTCTAACACGAGCAAATAAATGCAAAATGCACTTCCGTCCGAAATTATTTAGACTTAGGCAGTAAATGACCACTGGCCCCTATGTACATGTATATTAGACTGAAGCATACAATGTAGGCTGTGTCTCAAAGTACATGTGCCTGAACACTTTGAACACATTGGTAATTACTCTAGTAGGCCTGCCCATGTTTATTTTGGTGTGTAGAATCTGGGCAGAGAACAAGGCAGCTCTTATGCCTTGATTAGTATGACTAAACCTTGTGTTCATTCATTATGACCGAATTCAAATAATAATGGAGAGCCCTCAAAGATGTCGGCCAAAGGTGTACACAAGGCCAACTCAGAAATCCGAAACACATTCAGAGATTGTCACCAGTGTTAAACGCAATGTATACACGATAGACTGTCTACTCTACTATATCTGACATTCAGAAATGATTAGCTGTTCAAATGACAGAACGTTTCCGTTTGACTGCACATTAAAAGCCAATTGGCAATTGTAACGATGAAGTTCAAGACTGCATGCTAACAATGTCACATACATTCACAGAACATGCATCTTAATAGATTACAGCAAGTCTGACATCCTATACACATCTAAATCAAAGGTCATACTCTAAAATTCCTATTGACTCTTTGCATGCTTCCACCATACACATGCAGAGCCTCGAACTGGCAGCTTGTACAATTCATGTCGGAATCGCTTTGTCCAGTCGCATGGTATAAGAACTGATGCAGCACATGCAGATTAAATAAGCAACATAGATGGGAATCGCTGAACCGGCTATATTTATTGTGTAGACCGGCCAGACCGAGGCTGTGCATGCTTATGGCGGCAGCGTGCAAAGAGTGAATACTCTATCCAGCATGTACACAAAGCCATAAAAAGGGTTTTCAGTAACAAATTTCACATGAAACAATTTTGTGTGTGTCTACATGCACTCACTGAATATCACTTTCCCGGTATTTTTTCAATCAATGGCTATTATTTTAATCTAGATGCTCTTGTCATTCTAAGCTTATGCCGCACAGTTAACGTCTCACTTATTGAAAAGTAGCAATATTTCATTTACAGAACATGTTAAATACAAAATTTCTGACAAATATTTTTGTTAACTCTGAAGGTGAAACTGCACATTTGTAACTTACAATGCAGTGTAACATTTAAAAACATTTTAGTCCAGCTTCAACCCTACCAAAATCAGCCAAGCAGAAGCTTCAAGCGGAAGCTTCAAGCAGAAGCTATCACAAGAACTAATAACTAGATTTCTCACAGTTATTTTGTTACTGGAATTTTCGCTCTGGAATTTTGTTGGTATTTCTGTCGCTGGGCCTGCATTACATTGTCTCACTGAATGGTTATATAGCAAGGTTTTACAGTGGTCCATACAATCCGAATAGGGCTATGAGCCCATTTAAATGAATTTTTCTGCAAAGGCAGGTCTTGTATGACATTTTGTCTGTAATGCAGGATGGGTAAAAAGAGCCACTTGAATTCATCAGAAACAGTGGTGGGCACACTAACTATTAGACTGTTAACATTTCCAATCATGGAAATGTAGTCAAATTGCTGTTTAACCAAGATTCCAAGGTTATACATTGTAACCAAGATATTAAGGTTACACATTGCAGGTAAACATAAGTTGCTATGATGAATCCGTTTATGTTTGATTTTTCTTCAGGTAAACGCATTTCGTGTGTGTGGTCCTAAACTTTTGCAAATGACTTTACTCATTGGATTTATAAAACCCAGCCAGATGAGTTTGAATTCTGGGGCCAGTTTCTCATGGCTGCTGAGCGTAGAACTTGGCCAAGGGCAGACAATCCTTTTAAGTGAGAAATTAGCCACTTTGGTTTGTAATGTTTCCTCCCTCTTGCTGTTTCTCACACGAATTTGGGGTTTAGGGCGTAGCCAATTTGTGGACCAGGTCAGATTTGTACAAGTTCGACGCAAACCAGTTTGCAGGGTTCAAATTAGGTTCTTTTTTCCTTCTCCAAAGCTCCAGAAGTGAAAAAGTAATCTTTTTGTGTTTTTTCCATGTGTATCTTCTTTATAGTGTAAGAGGAATGAACCCACCTTTCCTTTGCCAGATTTACCCCTAGATGTCAAGACATCTGAAGTGCTTTAATGCTTTCATTTTTTAAAGTCATGGTACAGTAATAGAATGCCATTTTATTTCTTCCCTCCACTTTTTCTTTTCTTTTCTGTCTTCTGTTGTGCTGGTGTGTGAATCTTGAACTATATTTTAAAAACTCTCGACAGAATCACAGAATTTACAGCCACCATCGTCCTTGAATTTCCGTTTTTTTACTACAAAGTGTTAGCAAGCATTCACATTTTCCCAAAAACAAAAGCGGAGCAGGAGATGAATGATATGGTGGGATGGGGGGCGGAGTAGGAGATGGATTGGGATCATGGGATGAGAATGGAATAGGAGATGGACAGGATAATGGGGCGGAGCAGATCCTTCAGAATGACATTTATTTTAAATCAATTATATGAAGTCATATATCAGCTGTTTACTTGATGTTCTTAAAAATTGTGACAAAGCTTGTACTTGGTTAGTGTGATTTTTTTTAAATTGCATGAATATCTGTAAGCATGAGCTTTTTTGCCGTAAAAAAATTTAGATTCATATGAAGTAACAAGCTGTGGTGGTGCAGCTA